TCCGGCCCCCCAGGACTCCTGGCGTGCCCCGCCCCCTGCATCCCCTGATCAACCCTAGGACTCCGGGTAGCCCGGGCCCTGCACCCACCTTGGTCCCTTAGGACTCCCGGGACACCCTGCCCTGCACCCTTCTGTCACCCAGGCCGTTCTGCCCTGCTGCTCTCTGGTCCCCCAAGACTCCCTGAACCCCAAGACCCTGCACCTGCTTCGTCCCCCGGGACTCACTGGAAATGCCCTTTGCATATCTGTCCCCACCTCCTTGCACACCTCTAGCTCCCCAGGCCTCCCCAACACACCCCGCCCCCTGGCAGACCAAATGAAAGGACCAAAGACCTATTCTTTGCTTTGTACCTTCTTCTGCCAAACCTGAAGAAAAATCAGTTGCCCGCCCCCCGGGTCCCCCTTGACAATCGCGGTGGAGGGGGAACTGGAGCAAATTGGGTCTCCTTGTGTTTAAACAGTAGCCACACGGCCAGGCTTCTTTGTCTTTTTGGTTGAGCCCAGCCATCTCTCCAGCCCCTTGTTTGAGATGAAGCTGTCACAGGAAATGCTACATTGAATCAGATACCTGACCGTCGTCCCCCAGGTTAGATGAAGCTCTCTGAAGACGCAGAGGGACTGTTTCTTTGTCATTGCTCATTCCTTACTGTGCTGACGTCCACTGAACATTTCAGAGTTGGACAAGGCTCTCTTCGATACTACGAGATTAGCCATGCTTTATCTAATACCAATCACTGAAAAGCTTTTTTGCTATCATAACAATAGAGTAACAACAACAGTCAATATTTACTATACATTTATTTGCCAAGTATGGAGCTAAACCCTTTATATGTATTATCTTATCCCTAATCCTCAGCAATTCACTAAACGGCCATGGTTTAATAAAAATAAATAAATAAAAGACTGTCTTCCTCTGTGCCAGCCATTTCTCCGACTTCTTCTCACACGGGACAAAACCAATTATCCTGTAATTTTCATGCATGCACGAGGCCACAGTCCCCACTGGGTATAGAACATCTACCACAGTGGCTTGTCATCAGACACGCCCATTCTTTTCGGTAAACAGAGACATTAGTGTGCTAGGCGTGGTGCTCACCATGCAGTCATCAGGATTGCAGAATCTCATTTAATCTTTAAGTTTTGGAGGTATTTGTACAGACTAAGAAAAAGGTTTAAAGAGGTTAGGACAGCTCCGAAGTTCAGCTGGGTTCATACAACTACAAAATGATGTTTTCAGGATGTGGTCTCCGATCTGCTGGTTTCAAGCTGGCGCACTTTGACAAGCACACCAATGACGTAATATTGGAGTCTCTCTAGCTTTTACAGGTATCTATTCAAGAGTTTCTGGAGGTCAAGGTTGCCTTGTGTCACCAGCACTCTGCTCTCCAGAGTGCTGAGCACCTGGTACATGACCATGTTTTCTGTTTTGTTTTGTTTTTAAATGGGTATGAGGGCCAGCAATTTGGGTCTCTAGGTAAAGGCGCTTGCTGCCAAATTTGATGACCTGAGTTCAATGCCGGGACCCACATGATGGAAGGAGAGAGATAACTTCTGTGTGTTGTCCTCTGACCTTTATTTCCAAGCTGTGGTATGCACATGTATACATACACAAAATAAACATATAAATAAAATTTAACTTTAAAAAATGACTGTGAGGGCAAGCATGGTAGCACACACATTTAATTCCAGCACTTGGGTGCCAGAGGCTGCTGGCCTCTATGATTGTGAGGTCAACTGGTCTACACAGTTATACAAAAAGTGGTGAAGCATAAAATGAAGATTTGAAAGAATAAACCAGCCCCAGGGTTGAGAACAGAATGAAAACTTTACTCTATAGCTTATGTCATAAATGGGCATTCTTGGGAGTACAAAAATGCAAACTCCACCCCTTTGATTAATTAATTAGACATCTTCAGCAAAGGGACTTGGTCCAATGACTGGTTGTCACTAACAGGCTGTCATCCCCTCACTATAGTAGGGAAGCCCTTTTGGTAAATTGTGACAGCTGTTTAATCATCCTCCAGGGGGATACAAACTAAACCCCATGTGGGAGAATTTAGGAGACAGCACAGTTTTACTAGGCTGTAATAGCCACTGCCTGACTGACACACAGGCAGGATCCACCCCGCCCCTCTCTGGTTTCACCTTGCGCCATCCTGGACTATCACGTCTGTACAGGCATCATGCTCCTTCCAGAGCCTCAGGGACCTTGCACATGCTGTTACTATACCTGGAATTCTCTTCCTGTTTGCCTGATGGGTGTCTGCTCATCTGGCAGCTCTTGGTTTAGATGCTAGTTCTCTAGGAAGCCTCCCTGATTCCACCCTGACCTCTGTCCCAGTACCTCACAGCACCAGTCTTCCCTGGGATTACTTAAGGTCTACTACTAGAATGTAAGCAGGGCTTACACTCTTATCTCCCATGACTGGCAAAGCTGCACATAAAGAATGTGTGGGTACCATGCTGGGAAAGTGCTCTATCACTAAGCTCTAGCTCCAGCCCATTTTTACTTTATGTTTTGAGATGGGGTCTCACTAAAATTGCCCGTGTTGGACTTGAACACACCCTGTAGTCTAAGCAGGCCTTCAGCTTGCCATCCTCCTGCCAACCTCCCCAGCGGATGGGGTTACAGATCCTTGTTTGTTTTAAGCAGCACTTGGCTGAGAACCCAGAGGTCTTACTGTGCATCCAATAGACTCTTCTGGAAGACCACCCATTTTAACCCTGTTTGTTTTAAGCAGCACTTGGCTGAGAACCCAGAGGTCTTACTGTGCATCCAATAGACTCTTCTGGAAGACCACCCATTTAACCCTGATGCAGGTTAAGATGCATTTAACCCTGGCATCTTAGTTGACTTAGTTCACTGTTCTTCAGAACATCAGAGTTACTAGCTAGTATCATCCTTCTGGAGGCTTAAGTGATGAACCTTCCTGCAATGTGCACTACCAAAATCACATCCACTGTCTTCAAGAAAAGAAAGCTAGAGGCATGACCTAGCAGAGGCTCACAAACCAGGGACACAGAAGAAACTACGGGTCACTCCTTGGCCTCAAACTACATAGTCTCAGTTCTAAGCATTCTCTTGGCACCTTTTGGGTAAAACTGCTTTAAGTATTTACATATAATCTTGATTCAGAATTTCTTTTGGAGGGGGTGTTTCTATTTCTGTTTAAAAGGCCTAATCAGAAGTTCTAAAAATACCCTGTATCAGTCTTTTCCAATGCTGAGATCATTTCTGGTAGACATTATAGTGTGATTCAGTTGCCTCTTGATATGCTGGTCTTAGAATGATAATGACAAAATGTAAATCCTAAAGGCTAGTTCATCTTGCAACTCTTTCCTACATACATGAGAAATTGCTCCTAATATAAATATAACATGTCAAGACAGAGGAGTTGATCATATCAAAACCTGCCATTCTGAATTTTGCTAATTAATTCATAATACTTTTGTTGGGTAAGAACAGGTGTTGTAAAGCTTGGCATGGTGGTATATTCATCATCCTAGCACTTGAGAAACTGAGGCAGGAAGATCACAAGTTTGAGTACATAGGTATCATGGATATTTCAAGCCTATAAACTAAAAATACATTTAGCTATAAAATAATGTAGTATTTCAAATCCTGTTCCACCCTAAGTTTTCCAACGGAGCATTGATGTTCTCTGTCAGTAGGCAAGTGGAGAAGCAGCCATGAGCCTATCACACAGAACAGGAAGAAAACTAGCATCTGAGTTCTCAGATTGGAACCTGGGGCCTCCCCAAAGGCTCTGTGGGTTTCCCGTTGGCAAGTGCTGGTTCGGAATCAGCTCTGCACTCCGTTTCCTGCCAGCACCCTCATCACAGAGGTGAGCTGAGCAGCTTTCCTCTCATGAAAATCATCTCTCGAGGAACCCTGAAGTCTCTAACAGAGGGACACCGACCCAGCACAATACAACCTGAAAAGAATACTTTTCTGAGAAATTAACTCGCCAAGATGCATTTAAAGTTCCTTGTTAGCTGGGCAGTGGTGGTGCACACCTTTGATCCCAGCACTTGGGAGGCAAAAGTGGTCAGATCTCTGTGAATTCAAGGCCAGCCTGGTCTACAGAGCTAGTTCCAGGATAGCCAAGGCTATACAAAGAAACCTTGTTTCAAAAAACCAAAAATACATAATAAAGTTTCTTGTTTTAGTCCTGTATAGTAAAAGGAAACCAAAAACTTATTTTTATTATTAAAAATACTTTTATTGAGTGAAACAGATCAGTTCTGGTAGAAAGGAGAAAGGCCAATAGTGTAATTTTTTAAAAAAATATTTTTTAAGTTAAAATGGAATTTTTAGTCTTCAATATATTTTTAAAAATCTATATAAAACTTGATCTTCCAGCAAATGCTGTCTTGTGTAAGTGAACTGCCTACTACAGAGCCAGACAAGATGCAGCTGTCGCCTGAGGACAGACTGGCCTTAACTGCCAGCAAGGTGATAGTGTCCCATTACAAACATTTTATACCCTCTTATCTCACGCCCATCAAACAACAAAGTCCAGTGCTAGAACCATAAGAGAAGAAAAGACTACGTCACACATTGGGAGCGGGCTCTGAGAAGTTCAGCTATAATGTGAATATTACCAGGTTTTAAGGAGGCAGACAGCTCAAGCAGCACTTGACATGCAGGGGTTCTCATACCAGGTTTAAAGAGCTTCTCTGGTATTAAACCACGTCTGCATCTTGACAGAGTTTTTTCATTTTTTCTTTCAGCATAGTTCCAAACACGTGTGTAGAGTAAGACCTCATTTCTTTGGCATGAAAAAAAATTTTTTTACACAAAAATGGTTCATCAAAAACAAAATAAAGTCGCTTTAAGAAGTAAACTTTGAGATTCTGCTGCCTTTGTATTAAAGGCTTCTGTGGGAATCACAATCCTCTTCGTCTTCAGGTGAAGTACGGTATCCGCTTTCTGCCTTTCAGTGAGAATCCTGCTTCTGGGAGAAAACAAAAGCAGTCAACAAAATGAAAAGGAAATAGCACCGCGCAGCGCCTGGGAGTTCCTGGCATCTGAGACCCTGACTACACATCCTGGCTCTCCTCAGTAAGGTCTCTCGCTGTACTACATATGTGAAAACTTCCCAGCAATGAGACTGGGGTGGGATGTGGGGGACAGAAGGGCGACGGGGAGGCAGGCAGAGCTGCTCAGATGTCTTGCCTTCCTACTGGAAAGACTCCTAAGCTTAACAGGAGACATCTGTGGCACCTATGCCACTGGCCACAGGAACCGCACTTGGAATGAAGGTCTGACAGAAGCGAACGGAACCCAAGAAAGTGCCTCCTGGGCTCACAAAAGTCGAAGTCACAGGATTCTTTCTAGACAGACATATAGAAGCAATCCTCAAATGTAAACTTAGATGCCTTTTGAAATTTGTATTTTCTGGGTCAGGGTCTCACCAAGTGTAGCCCAGGTTGACCTCCAGTGCCTTATCTTTCTGCTTCAGTCTTCCCAACTGCCAGAGCGCTAGAATCACCACAGCGTATTCTACCATGCTTGGCCTCAAGCTCTCCCCACCCATTTCTTTTCCTTTTGAGGCAGGGTCTCACTAGGTTTATCCAATGCCTTAAACATGTAGTCCTGCCTGCATCAGTTCCCCATAGGGATTGCAGACTGTGACTGAAGCCCAACTAACCAGCTTTTAGTTGTTTTTCAAGACAGGGTTTTTGTTGTTGTTGTTGTTGTTGTTGTTGTTTGTTTTTTGTGTAGTCCTGGCTGTCTCGGACCTTGCTTTGTAGACCAGGCTAGCCTTGAACTCACAGAGATCCATCTGCCTCTGCCTACTGAATGTGCCACTATTACTGCTAAGATTCCAATTTTTAAAGTTGGATTTATACGCCAACTTCCTTATATATAAAATTATCAGTATTGAGAACAAAAAAATTTTGGTATTTCTTTTGGTACTTGTGTTTCTCTTACAAGTAATTGGCATTCTACTCAAGTTAATTGTAGTAAAAGCAGATCAGGCAAAAGAGGAAGAAATACTGGTCAGATGAATGTGTAGCCTTGACTCTACATTATCAACGTTTCCAGTTACTTATTAATATCAATTTTGATATGAGGCGAGACAAGGAAAGGTGACCTACACATAGCCACAGTGAATGTCCAAGTTGACTTTGTTTCCTTCAATGACTGACAAGGGTGTTTTTGTCATCTGGCTCTTCTGAGACTTCTAATTTCTAGAAAACAACTCCAGAATTAGTATCCAGGTTACAGAAAATAAAAAATACTTTAGACAATCAGACACACATATAGCAGGAATGCCTTTCAAAGACCTAAGAGGGACTGGTGAGAGGAAGCACTTGGTGAGCAAGGCTGATGACAGAATAGGATACCTGAAACTTACAGTGGAAGGAGAGAACCAACCCCTTGACCGCTACACACGGATGCCACAGCGCTCGCGCTCACTCTGTCTGGGTCTCTCTCTCTCTCACACACACACACACCACTAAGAACGCTGACAGACAATATGTTCTTGTCTTGGGAACAATTTCACTGTCAGTTTTCAGAGGGGCTAGCCTAAATTCAGATTCTCCCATCTTTGTCTCCATGTCTGGGACTATAGGACTTGTCACTGTACTTGGCTTACAAAGTCTTTTCGTTGTTTTTCTTTCTCTACCTATTTGTATGGTAATGTGTATCTGTGTGTTCATGTGTGTAAGCACACGGCTTGGTATGTGTATGGTGGTCAAAGAGTAACTCTTGAGAGTTGGTTCTCCTCTGCCTGGTAGGATCTAGGGATAGGGATAGAACTTAGGTCGTCACCCCTGCTGGCAAGAGCCTTTACTAGTGAGCCATCTCACCAGCTCGTTTTTGTTGTTGTTTTTGTTTTTCGAGACAGGGTTTCTTTGTGTAGCCCTGGCTGTTTGGCCATAAACTCAAAGATCCACCTGCCTCTGCCTCCTGAGTGCTGGGATTAAAGGCATTCGAAACCACTTCCAAGATGTTGTTGCCATTTTTAAAGATTCTCTATTTGTGTGTGTCTATGACATGGCATGTGGCATGGGGTGGGGGTGGGGGAATAAAGAACTTGCCAGAGTCAGTTCTCAGCTTCTGTCATATGCGTTCCAGGGATTGGATCTAGAATGTCAGTTTCCCCACAGACCCACAGAGCCTTCTCAAAGGTGCTTTTTTTTATTTGGATAGAGACAAAGATCCTCCTGCTTCAGCCTCCAGAGTGCTAGGATTCAAGGTGTGCACCATATTTCTGGCTTAATTTTCTTTATTTTATTGCTTGCTTGCATGTTTGTTTTGGAACAATGTCTTGCAGTCCTGCTATCCTGGAACTTGCTATGTAGACCAGGTTGTACAGATATGGTATAGAATACATACAAACAAAACATTCATTCACATAAAATAACAATAAGTATATCTTTAAAAAAATACAAATGTGGCTGGGCAGTGGTGGTGTAATTCCAGCACTTGGGAGGCAGAGGCAGGTGGATCTCTATGGGTTCAAGGACAGACTGGTCTAGAGAGCGAGTTCCTGGACAGCCAGGGCTACACATAGAAACCCTTTCTCAAAACAAAACCTGTTAGCATGGGCAGGTAATCCCAGAGCTGGAGGACGGAGAGGCTGATCATTGACCAGGCAGACCAGCCTACTTGGTGAGCTCTGGGATAAGGTATATGTCACCATGCTTGACCACTTTTTTGGTTTTTTGAGACAGGGTCTCACTATGTAGCCCAGGCTGGCCTTGAACTCATGATCCTCTAACCTCGGCCTCTCAAATTTTGGAATTACAGGCATAAATCTTAAGCTTATAAATAGAATGTCCAGTCCCGTGTATTAATCACAAAGCCACGTTTGGTGTAGGGTTGAGTTGCCCTGGATGTGGCCAGCAGTACTACAATTTACTCTTTCCTTTTTTTTCTGTCTACTTACTGGGGTTCTGCTATTATTGTTGTTATTGAATAGTTCATACATTCACACTGGTTGAAAAACCAAATAATATCTAAAAATGGAGTCAGGGAGGTGTCTTTAGCAACTAAAGGTTCCCACCAGCAAGCCTGACAGCCTGAGTTGGACCCCAAGGATCCCCTGGTGGAAGGAGAGCTGTCGCACATATCAACTGTGCACTAAATAGCACACATGAATGACTGTGGTCTGTACCTTTGCATCCTGCTGGGAACAGTCCCTGTACCGTGTAAACAGGCTCTCTGCTATTACGCAAAGTTGAAAGGAAAACCTAGAGTTGTCCATTTGTAGCCATGCAGAAGTCCCTGGGAGAGTCACAAAGTGACACTGCTTGCAGTCAGAGCCCCCAGTGTGGCAGGAGAGCGCCCTGTCCACAGAGTTGCTCCCCTTGTCTTTAGCTGCAGATGGCGATGCCTCAGAGAGGGGGAGCGGCTGCTCAGAACATTGCCCTGCTTCCTTGTTGCAAAAACGAGCATTTATAAATATATATATATATATATATATATATATATATATATATATATAACTGTTTGCTTTTCCTATTTCTAGCGTTAGCAAGTTCAAAGGAATGGGGGAAAGAGTGTGTGAAACTTTTACCAAGTACATTTCTGCTGTTTAAGTTCTGTTTCCTGACATCTCCAGAACCAGTTAATCCATCCAAAAATATTCTGTTTGGAGCCAGTGTTTGTGTTTTTTGTTTTCTTCAGTTAACTGATTTTCTGATCATGGCTGTGGAATGCTGAGTAAAGGATTTAATCACCTTCCCTCATCTGTAAAGTGAAGGGTTGGGGGGAGGGAGTGGGGACTTGGATTGGTATGTAAAATGAAAAAAAGAGTTTGTTTTCTTTTTTTAAAAAAAAAGAAAAAAAGTGAAGTGTTAGGATTAGATATTTTTTCTGGGTCTTCTCAACTCAAAATTCTCTCAAATCAAGTTTTCACCAGCCTTGCACGGCTTCCGTATCTTTTCAATCTAGACCTGAGGTCATAGCTTTGCTCCTTTCCCTGCACTTTCCTCTCAACCATCAGGTGCCACGACAGGAACTGTGATGGAGATAATTCACAAACATGCAGCAATGAACAGACATGGTGCACAACACAATGCAGTCAAAACATTCACACACGTAAAAATAATCTGGTAAAGACTGCAAGTGTGTTAGAATATGCTGGAATCTCAGAGAGGTGACCAGCCAGACTAGCTTACTTGGTGAGAGGCACCCGAGAAACACTACCCACCATTGCCCTCTGACCTCCGTCAGCATTTGCACACATATGTATGTGTACCTGCACATACAAGTGCACCCCACATGCACACACAGTCATACAATAGGCTATCAATTGCCAATGAAGGACACAGTACCAATGCACCAATAACATGGATGAATCTTAAAACACCAAGAAAAAGGTGAAGAATAAACACAGGCTGGAGGGGAGGCCTCATGTTGGTTCCCAGCACCGAGTGGACAAAAGTATTTGCTGTGTGGCTGCATTTCTACAATGCTCTGCATCAGGCATAACTAGTCTGCAGAGATAAAATCAGAGCAGTCACTGCCTGTGGGGTGAGGACAGAGGCCTCACTTCAAAGGGCTCTCAGGGAACTTCCTGCTATAGAAATTCTCTCTTCTCACTGGCTACTACAATGGGTACACATGCACGACCAAGGCTACTGAATCAGCAGGATTGTCATTAAAGTAGGAGAATAGACATTGACGGCATCTCGTGTTGTGTGCTTATGTGTGCAGGTATGTGCCAACGCATATGAGCAAAGGTCAGAGGAGGACATGGGTGTCCTGCTCTCACTACGCCAGTATTCCTTTGAGATTGAGTCTCTGGATCTAGAGCTAGACTGGCAGCCGACAGCCTCAGGACCATCCTGTCCCTGACTCCCACAGTACTGGAGTGTAGAGCACACGTCCACATGTGGCTTTAAGTGGGTGCCGTGTGTGAACGCAGGTCCTCACGCTTATGCAACAAGGCTCTTATCACTCGGCCACATTCCTAGCTCCACATTAAAGTTGTTTTTAATGAGATGTCTTCATTTTGTTGTATGTAAATTATACTTCATTAAGATTTGGTATTTTTTGTTTGCTTGTTTGGGTTTGGGGGTGGGTTTCTTAGCCATGGAAATGAAATCCAGAGCCTCGCATATGCCCAACACACCATACAACTGAGCTACACCCCAGCAATGGTAATTTTAACAGAAAAGCAATTCAGGGGTCAGTGAGATGGATCAGGGAGTAAAGAACCCGAGTTCAATTACCAGAACCCACATGGTAGAAGGACGGAACTACCTCCTGCAACTGTCCTCTGGCTTCTATACATGTGCACACTCATATACACACACAATCAATTGGTCAATATTTAAATGTCAAATTTGAAAGGGAAAAATTATATTTTATAGTATTTTGTATTGTAAATTTTTTTAGATTTATTAAATACATGAGTACTCTATCTGCATGTACGCCTTTATGCCAGGAGAGGGTATCAGATTCCACTATAGATAGTTGTGAGCCACCATGAGGTTGCTGGGAATTGAACTCAGAATCTCTGGAAGAGCCACTGAGCCATCTCTCCATCCCTGTACAGTATTCTTATAGACCTTTAATAATAATAAAAATTATTATTATTTGGGGTTTTGATCAGAGACACAAAAACAGCTTAACTTAAACGGCTTTCAAGTATCTTTAAGTACAAAGACAGCATGCCCAAGGAATGTACCTTGAATCTGAAATGGGAAATTTAAGTTTCGAGTTCTGACTTCACAATTAGGGAATAGACTTCAAGTCTATTGATCTGTATACTGTTTACATAGATGCAATAAAATCTACAAGGTGGCTTACACAACTGCCGCTGAAATCTTATTATGCTCAGAAGAAACAGCTGATCTCAATGTGTAAAACCCTGAGAAAAGTGACAGCTTCCAACTAGGGAGAAGCTCAGTAGCTGAGTGAAGTCAGTCTCCAGATCCAAACACCAGTTAAGGACCTTAAGGGAGAGGGAAGCCCCACCTGCGCCCCAGCACAGCGAGGGATGGGCTGTGAGAGCGCAGTTCTAGCCCAGCCTCCAAACAAACCACAAACAAGACTGTAGTACCAGCACTGGGGAGGCACAGGCAGGTGGATCTGTGCGTTCAAAGCCAGGAGGAAAGGGGAGAAGGAGAAAAGAATCGATGAACGATGATTAGAGAGACTTTAGGGGAGGAAATGCAAAGGACAGACCTTGCTGGGTATTGACCTGACAGAGAGAAAGCAGCTGTGTCAAGTAAGTGGGCGAGAGCTAGCGCAGGCAGTCATTAAGAGACACTCGGGGTTTACAGCTGGTTGTCCTGAGCCTGGTAATGTTATTACAGTTGTCTTTTTAAACCTTCTCATCTGCTGGGTATACCCAGTGCCACATGTACATAACCTTTGTACTTTAGGAGGTAGAGGCAGGAAGATGGTGAGTTCTAGACTAGTTACATAGTAAGACCTGCCTCGTCCCTCCAAAGAAAAAACACACCTGAAAGACATGCATCTTGAAGTATCTCTAAGTGAAAGACTACGTCTTAAATTTGCTCTAAAATGCTTCTGGAAAGCATGAAAGCCACTGAGATGACTCAGCAGGCAAAGGCACTTGCTGCTATGCCTGATGCCCTGAGTTTCATCCTCATAATGGTGGAAGGAAGGAAATAACCCTCCCAGGCTGTCCTGACTACCCCCACATATACCTAAGCACATTTTCTCCTTCTCTCACATATGCTTGTGTGTGTACGCACACACACAGTGATGTTTTATTTATGTTTTATAAATAAAGCTTTTCTGAAAACCAGAAGGTAAAACTAAGTCACTAGAGGCCCAGCAGTGGTGTCACACACCTTTAATCCCAGGATTTGGGAGACAGAAGCAGAGGGATCTCTTGTGAGTTCATGGCCACCCTGGGCTACACAAGACCAATGCAGAAACAGATCCAGGTGGCTCACACTTTTAATCCCAGTCCTAGGGAGTGACACACCTTTAATCCAAGCACTAGAGAGGAATAATAGACCGGATGAGACAGAAGCTTACTCTCTTTCAGTCTGAGGATTTCTTAGAGGGAAGAGCGCTCTAGTGGCTTGGCTGCTTTGCTTTTCTGATCTTCAGGTTAAACGCCAATATCTGTATCTGGATTTTTATTATCCATGCCTTCCCCCACCCAGGAAAACACACAGAAATGCCAGATATATTGGCATATTCATTTAATCCCAGCCACTAAGGAAGCAGAGGCAGGCAGGGCTCCATGAGTGAGGTGAGAGGCCAGTCTGATCTAACAGTATTAATTCCAGGCTAGCGAGGACTGAGGATAAGACCCTAAAACACACAGACAAAAATAAACAAATGTGGTGACTGGAGAGATGGCTCAGAGGTTAAGAGCTCTAATTATTCTTCCAGAGGTCCTGAGTTCAATTACCAGCAACCATATGGTGGCTCACAAACATCCATAATGAGATCTGGTGCCCTCTTCTGGCATGAAGGCAGACATGCAAGCAGAATACTGTACATACAATAAATAAATAAACATTAAAAATAAACAAATGTAAGTTTTAAAGTATACAGAAGAGGAAGATAAAATTTAAAATGGCAGATGTACAATTATATTATTTTTCCTACTTTTTTAAAAAAAATTTATTTATTTATTTTATGTATGAGTACTCTATCTGCATGTACACCTGCATGCCAGAAGAGGGCATTAGACTCAACTACAGATGGCTGTGAGTCACCATGTGCTGCTCTTAACTGCTGAGCCATCTCTGCAGCCCTATTTTTTTCTACCTCTGTGTGTTCTTAAAATCCTGTGTGTATTTTAAATTTGAAATTTTGGAGCCGAACATGGACACGTACAGTTTTAATCCCAACACTAAGGAGGCAGAAGCAGAAAGAAATAGCTTTGTGAATTTGAAGCTAATCTGGTCTATGTAGTTCCAGGACAGTCATTGCTACATAGGAAGACCCTGTCTTTAAAAAAATAAACAGGCTGGGCAGTAGTGGCGCACGCCTTTAATCCCAGCACTCGGGAGGCAGAGGCAGGCGGATCTTTGTGAGTTCGAGGCCAGCCTGGTCTACAAGAGCAAGTTCCAGGACAGGCTCCAAAGCTACAGAGAAACCCTGTCTGGGAAAAAACAAACAAACAAACAAATAAAAAAAAACAAAAAAAGAAAAGAGAAGAAAGAAGGAAAGGAAGAAAGAAAGGAAGAAGTTTGAAACTAGGTGCAGGGTAAGGTACTTGCTACATAAGACCCTAGGCTCCATCACAGCAGCACAAAAACAGCAAACACTAAATGCAGACATTCAGATGTCCCACAAATCAGAAAGAAACGGGGGCAGTTTTGACACTGACAGTTTTTGGTTCTGTCTTACCCTCTAGTTCCACAGTATGGCTTTTCCTCCTCAGCATGGTGCCTTTCTTCTTCAAACCTTCCTACTATAGAATAGCCACCTCCCAGTATTCCCTGAGCCTCACCGCTTAGTATATTGAGACCCTATCGATGTACATCTTAAGAGAAGGAAATCTGGGCTGGGGACATAGAACAGTCAGTAAGTGTTAGCCATGTAAGCATGAGGATCTGAGTTTGATCCCCAACACCTGCATAAAAAGGCAGATGTGGCACATGCTCTTGTAACCCCAGTGCTGGTGGAGAAGGTGGGTCTCTGGAACCTGTGGCCAGCCAGGTCTAGCCTAGTCATTAAACTCGAGGTCCTTGAGAGACCTTGTCTCAAACAACCGGGCGGACAGCTCCTGAGCAGCATCACTGAGCACTGAGGCTGTCTTCTGGCCTACATATGCCACACACACACACACACACACACACAGAGAGAGAGAGAGAGAGAGAGAGAGAGAGAGAGAGAGAGAGAGAGATGCACGCTCCTCCCTGCACATACACCTACACACATTTTTTTTAAGACAAAGAAAGGGGAACGCACACTTCTGTTGAGATTCTCACAGCTGATGGGCAGCAGTGTGCTCAGTTCCAGATCCGTGACCATCTGTCGAGACTCGGCCAGCAAGCGTTGGAGCTTACTAGTAGGAGAAAAGTCATCCTGAAACAACAACACAGTTCAGCACTGTGAGCTGGGGTGCACTTCTAAGTATTTTTGCACAATCACAGCTTACAGACACAAATGCTAACTGTCAACGGTAGATATCAGTATTACAAAAATAACCAGTTCCTTTTATTTCTTATAACCTACTCAATGAAATGAAGAAAGACAAAGAGTTAATTATAAGAAAAGGTTCCTAAACATTTCTTAAATAAAAACTTCAGGCCAGGATGGGTGTGGTGGTGCATACCTTTAATTGCAGCACTCAGGAGGCAGAGGCAAGTGGATTTCTGTGAGTTCAAGGCCAGCCTTATCTACATAATGAGTTCCAGGCCAGCCAGGGCTACAGAGTGAGACCTTGTCTTTAAAAAACAACAACAACAAAAACACAAAAAACAAAAACAAACAAAAAAAATGGGGAGGGTTGGAGAGATGGCTCAGTGATTAAAAGCACTGGCTGTTCTTCAAAGATCCTGAGTTCAATTCCCAGCACCCACATGGTGGCTCACAACCATCTATAGTGGGACCTGATGCCCTCTTCTGGCACAAAGGTATACATGCAGATAGAGTACTCATATACATAAAATGATTAAATCTTTTTAAAACTCGTCATAATTAGCAGGTCAAAGCAACTGCAAAATAGAACCTTAGACGAAAGGTATGTTGAGATGTGCTTTAGTTTAATCTTGCTATTTTATTTTTATTGTTTTTTTTTTTTTCAGGGAGAAAATCAGAGGACAATTCAAAAAAATCAGTTCTCTTTTCAACATGTAAGTTCTAGGAACCAAACTCAGATTGTCAGACTTGATGGTAAGCACCTTTACCCTCTCTCTGAGTCATCTAGATGGCCTTCAATTTAAAAACAAAACATTTATTTATTTTGTGTGTAGATGATATGTTCCATGACATGAAGTTGGAGGAAAACTTTGCACAGTCAGTTTTCTGCTTCTACCCAGTGGATTCAGTGTTTGATTCAATTCATCAGGCTTGGCTGTGATTGTCTTTATCCCAAACCAAAGCTACCCTGCAATCAAATACATAAATGTAAAAGAGGGTGGCCATCTCAGCAGTTCTTTTTTGGTTTCTTGAGACTATTTACATGCATTTTATTTTGTGTGTATGAGTGTTTTGTCTGTATGTATGTGCACATGTGTGTCTCGTATCCATGAAGTTCAAAAGAGGATTCCTGAAAATGGATTTATAGATGGCTGTGAGTCATCAAACCTGGGTCTCAGTCAACAGCAGCAAGCACTACTAACTGCTGAACCATCTGTCCAGTGTGAGATGCTTCAGTCACACAAACCTGTGGTTGTAAAAACCTACAAATGGTCAAAATTAAGCAATAAGGAGAATAAAAGCATGCTGGGGAGAAACTCTGCTTGACTGCATTGGGAACTCTCATGTAAAACAGAAACCTTTTCATGGGGCGAATCTGCATCTTTGCTGATGAACACACTCTTGGATGAGGTTCTTTTGTCTGGAGGGGGCTCTGGTTCATCTTCTCTCTCTGCAGACTTTGAGGAACCCAAACACTGGGGAGGCTGGATGGCAATGAGCTCACTGCAAACAATAAGACCAAAGAGAAATAATATCACACGTATGTCACTCATACATTTAAAGTATGGTACGAGGACAAAAAGTGCCAGGCATGTTGCCCATATTTATGATCTCAGCACTTGGTAAGGAAGCTAAAGCAGGAAGATGACCCCAGTTTAGGCCAGTCTGAGCTACACAATAAGTTCCATGCTAGGCTAGGGGACAGAGTGAAATGCTGTCTGAAGAAAAAGTAAAGAGAGAGGTGGGGGAAAAAAAGAAGAATGTGACCGGGTCTTGCTATGCAACCCAGGATGGCCTCAAACAAAGAAGTCCATGCTGGCCTGGAGCTCACACTCCTCCACCACAGCCTCTGGAGTGCTGGGCTAACAAGCACATTAGCACCTCTAGTTTAAACATGTTGTCTGAAAGGAAGTCAAGGTGATCCGATCAGAGTATTATACATTAACACATGCTTTTGCAAGTAAAAATTAAAATCTGTAGTTCAGGGTAATACAAGAACAAGGAATTTCCCTCCTTCAAAAAGTACAGAAATAGGGCTAGAGAAATGGTTCACTAATTAAGAGTATCTGCTGTTCTTTTTTTTTTTTAATTTTTTTTGTGTTTGTTTGCTTTCTGAGACATTGTTTCTATGTGACTTTGGAGCCTGTCCTGGAACTAGCTCTTGTAGACCAGGCTTGCCTTGAACTCACAGAGATCCGCCTGTTTCTGCCTCCCGAGTGCTGGGATTAAAGACATGCGCCACCACTGCCGGATGGACCTGCTGTTCTTACAGAGGATCCAAGTTCATTTCTAGCACCCACATGGTAGCTTACAACTGCCTGCAACTCCAGTTCCCAGAGATCTGACACCTTCTTCTCGCCTCCACAGACAACTGCATGCATGTGCATGTATGTATGTGTATGCGCGCGTACACACAGACACACACACACAGACACACGACTGTACACTGCTTCTGAAGAGTACCTCGGTTCAATTCCAGCACCTACATAGAAGTTTACAATTAGCTATAATTCTGTTATCAAAGAATCCAGTGTCCTCTTCTGGACAACACCCATATACATAAATTAAAATTATTAAAAATATATTTTTAAACTTCTAGCCCAGTGGTGATGGTACACGCTTTCTATCCCAGCACTTGGGAGGCAGAGGCATATAGATCTCTGGGTTCGAGGCCAGCCTGGTCTGCAGAGTGAGTTCCAAGACAGTCAGGGGTACACAGAGAAACCCTGCCTCAAAAAGTCTTTAAAAAAAAAAACCCAAAGGTTCAGCTTGGTAGAGCATACCATTGATCCTAGAACTCAGGAGGCAGAGACAAATGGATCATTGTGAGTTCAATGCCAATCAGATCAATTCAGTGAAACCCTGTTTCCAAAAAAAAAAAAAAAACCAATAAATGACGTTTTAGAAGTACAGAAGGGCCACTAGGATTGCTTAGTGGATAAAGTTGCTTGCCACCAAGTATGGGGACCTGAATTTGATCTCTAGAATCCATATTGTAGAAGAGAACCAATTCCCACAAGTTGTCTTCTCAACTCCATACTAGTGTTGTAGTATACACACACTAATACATAGATGTAGTTAACTTTTTTTTAAGTATGGAGGCTGGGGTACAAGCTCACTAGCTTAATATTCTCAGTCCTGGGTTCAAACCCTGAAACAACAGAAACACAATTTTAGTTAAAAAAAAAAAATAAAAAAGGTGCTAGGGACAAGATCCTACAGAAGGCAGAGGTAAGCATTACTAACAGTGTAAGGTTAAAGTGCAAAAAGGTGGGCTTTGGCTTGTGAACCTGACATGTGCCCGTGACTTGGTGGAAGTGGAGAGGCACTGGGCAGGTGACCACTGCCTCCAGGTACTAGAGCCCAGGAAACACACAGAAGAGCAGGTGCCTGTGGCTCCCCTCAAAAAGAGACCTTACTTGTTAACTGGAAAGAGGCACAAATGTGCATATTTATCTAGATAATAAAGTGGATACACAGGTTCTTGTAACCTGAGGAAACAGGAAAACACCACTATCTTTTCTACTTAATTACATACTTGTCCCGTGCCTGTGGCTCAGCTGGCAGAACAAGTTGGCATTTAAATTACTGAGGTCAAAGGGGAATTGAAAGAAAACCCTGAATGTAAATTTGAATTTATTCATACATTAAATTTAATACACATACACACACACACACACAGTGCTCTCAAAACTACCCAATGCAGGCTTCACTTTTATAAATAAAGAATGTTAGCCAGACAGTAGTGAGGCAGAGACAGCAGATCTCTGTGAATTGAGGGCAGCCTGGTCGATAAGAGCTAGTTCCAGGATAGCTGGGACTGTTACACAGAGAAACCCTGTCTCGAAAAACAAACAAACAAACAAACAAAAAAAACAAAGAGAAAGAAAGAAAGAAAGAAAGAAAGAAAGAAAGAAAGAAAGAAAGAAAGAGAAGAAATAAGAGTTTTTTAGGGCGTGGTGTGACTGTAGCTTAGTGGTAGAGCAACATCACAACATAATCAAAGCCCCCATTTGAATTTCTAGTACCACACACACACAAGGTCTTGCTTAGTAGGGAGAAACAGACACCTATGCCTTTCTGATACTTTCAGTTTTCCAAAGATCTTTAAAAACTAAATGACTTAATGGCATTTAGTATAGCAAATGATTTTTAATTTTGCACTTGGCAGAATATCTGTATGTTTTTTTAATGATTCAAGCTTCTTTAAAAGGCCCAAAGAATGCTCTACATAATGTAAGTACTATAAATTTTAATCATAAAATCCTGTGAAAGTCAAGGCAATGACTAAAATAAGGCTCTCAAGATAGAAACTTCATCCTTTCTGTGCTCTGAAGAGCTATGCTTTACTTAAAAATAGCAGGCTTTATTACAGTGCCACTCAGCCACAAGATTCAGCAACTCTAACAATAAAACAAGCTTGAATAATTTAGCATATACTAATTGTCTTATGAAAAAGAAAGCCAGTTACTTTTATCAGCTTGTTAAACACCAATGTTCTGTCTTTCACTTATTTAGAAAATAAGAAAGGCTGAGAAATGAAAAGTTGAAATGAAAAGTTGAGCTGGACACAGCAGTGAGGCATAGTGGGTATGTAACATGTGGTGTGATTCTAGATAAGGTCAGACAGAAACTGTGATGCAGGGTCTGTCCTGCAGTCTGGGCCTCAAAGGGCCAGCATGTCAACTGGAAAGGACCCTGGGGTGAAGAATGCTCCAGGACAGCATTCCACTCTGCACAGTGACCTACTTGTTTGTTTTCTAATAAAACATCTTTGCCCAGCTCATAATTGGTTTTATTTTTAAGTAAAACCTCTGCCTCAGAAGTAGCCCTCAGTGCAGATTCTCCATTGGAGTCTCTAAGTCCCCTTGCACAAAGACTCCAGTGTCTATGCCATGAGGAAAAGAGCCAAATCTTGTTTTAAGTTTGTGTTAGATACGACCGCAGTTTGCAAACAGTGCTTTCCCACTAGCCATGGGCATAAGTGTCTACTGCAGCCCTTTCTGTGTCTGCTGTCGCCTAACACTGTGTTACAGATATGAACATCACTAACCTTGCTGAAGATCTCATGCCACTGACACCTTTTGAACAAGTGCACACAGTTTTATGGCGAACAATTCTTTGCATTTTGGAAGGCTTGAAAATGTTCATCCACTCTACATCAGTCATGTGTCCTGGGGCCTCGACAATGATGTTACTCGGGTGGCAGCACTGGGACTCCCCCAGGTCCTTGTCCCCCACACAGACTTCATTTTGGACGCAGCATGAGATTGCAGCTGTGTCTGCGAGGTTACAGCTGTCCCCGTCAGGCTTTTCCAGATGCTGTGAGGCAGAGCAGTTAGAAAGGCCCAGGTAAACACTGATGTCATGCCACTGCTTCTCATCAGGCAGCGAGACGGATGTTTCTAAGAGCTGCTTCTCTTCGACCTGAAGCTCCATTCCACTGCTTTTTGGTGAGTTTGCATGAATCTTGCATAATGTAACTTTGTTTTCAGGTTCAGTCTGGAGTTTTCCACCCAGAGACCAAGATTTTTGTTTCTCCAGTAAGTCTTTGGTAAATGGAGATGAGAGAGCAATTACACTTTTTTCCCCAAACGCAGTATTAACCTGAAGCTTCTTCTCTCTGCATGCATCACAAAAGCTCTTGTCTGACCTATTGCGCTGAGCCAACGTGATCTCAAACTTTTGATCCTTAACCAATGACTTCTGATTTCTCTCTCTCTTAAAATCGATTTTTGGGTAGTTATTGTCAAGATCTGATAAACACATGTCTCTGCTACAGTGGCATTACAAAAAGAAGGAATTATAAGATTGACTTGATACTAGTATTACCTCCCCCAACCCTCATTAGTAGACCTAGATCCCAATAAAACCATTAGTCTGACTTTCAGAGCCCAAGTCCAGCCCCACCTCCGACAGGAAGCCTTTCTGACCGCCAAGCCTACATTCCCTCCCCTTTCTATCCCTCACTCATTGTGTTTACCATCAAAACAACAGCAACAAAATCAAAACTACTACAGAAATGTAACAGGACCTTTACCAGCCTTCCTCTAAGGCTTTTTCCTATCAGGGATTCCATCTGTTTGACTTAAGTCAGGTTCTCACATCGTAGCCCAGGCTGGCCTAGAAATTGTGTATTATTACTAGGAATACAGGTGTGCATACCATGCCGGGTTTGTATTCTTTCTTTCCATAATGGTATGAAGGTATGAACCACTTCCTTTGATTGGTTGTGTGTGTGTGTGTGTGTGTGTGTGTGTGTGTGTGTGTGTGAGAGAGAGAGAGAGAGAGAGAGAGAGAGAGAGAGAGAGAATATGGAGGTCAGAGGACAATGGCAGTTGCTTCTCTCCTTCTACCATATGGGGCTTGGTGGTAAGTGCTATTACCAGCCACTTCTTTTTTTTCCAATAATTTGTTTATTTTTTTACTTTATATGTTTTGCCTGAGTGTATGTCTGTGTGAGGGTGTTAGGGTCCCTGGAACTGGAGTTACAGACAGTTGTGAGTTGCCACGTGGGTGCTGGGAAATGAACCTGGGTCCTCCAGAATAGCAGTGAGTGCTCTTAACTGCTGAGCCATCTCTCCAGCCCCCGTGAACCACTTCTAAGAAGCAACCTCAACTCATTCAGTGCCTCACAGTGGCAATGAATTTCAAAGAGGAAAAAGACATGCCAAAGGCTTCTGCTTGGAAAAGAACACTGCGTGGGCCTGGGGTCTGCAGGTGGCAGCAGTAGATGGAACATAGAGCACAGAGTAGCAACCTGGAGAAGGTGTGAGGACAGAAATGTAGCCCAGCACAGTGAATCCTGCTGCCAGCTGCAGGTCTCCCAGGGAGAGGAGCTGGAGTCACCAGTCACTGACAATCTAGTCCAGACTTTGTAGTTCCCTGCAGACTGGGATGCCCCAATTCCTCTTCTTGACAAGCACAAAGGCTTTAGTTGGGCATGCCAGCACAGGTCTGTAATTCCAGTAAAGAGGAAGACTGCCATCAGTTTAAGACCAAACAGGACGACTCAGTGAGAATGTATCTCAAAAACATAAAAAAGAAAAAAGGGCTGGAGAGATGGCTCAGTGGTTAAGAGCATTACCTGCTCCTCCAAAAATCCTGAGTTCAATTCCCAGCAACCACATGGTGGCTCACAACCATCTGTAATGAGGTTTGGTGTCCTCTTCTGGCCTGCAGACATACACACAGACAGAATATTGTATACATAATAAATAAATAAATAAATAAATAAATATTTAAAAAAAGAAAAAAGAAAATGAACTTCACTTTGGTAGTTTATCTGCATTATCAAGCCATTATTCAACTGTTTCAGATTTACAATCATCCCCACAATTCTTGTCACAATCGAGGGAAGGATGCCACATACCAACTGGCAAACAGACAGGAAGATCTGAGCTTCTGTTGCAGCTAACGATGTTATTCTTTGCATTATTCTTTGAGGTTGGTACCAAGTCCCATGGATCTTATTCCCAATGGTAAGCCCACTGCCTATACAATGCATTAATGAAGGCCTGGCTAGCTCTGTAGTGTCTACTCCAGCTCAGAGCCTTTTACTCACAGACACACAAACCTAGTCTATGATTTATTTTTGTTAGATGACTAGTTGACACCTACAGATTACACCTAAATATCTTACACCAGGACCCCCATAGCACTAGGATTATTGTAATTATTATTGTACACAGATTTATTTCCTACCACACCAGAAGCAGCAGCAAGTACTGGCTCACAGCAAGCCAGAATAAAGCTGACCTAATGAGGAAGTTAGAAGTCAACATCAATACCATCGGCTAAGGTTACCTGCATTCCAGGGCCTTTGATTCCTCCATCTTTGAGTCATACATCTGTATTAATTCCTGAGAATTTTCTACATTGAAATTAAGAAACTGCAGGTCACTCTGTTGTTTTACGTAAATCTGCCAGAGATGTCAACAAATCAATACAATAAAAACAAATCCAAACTGAATCAACAGGTTGGCACTTTGAAATCCTAAAACAGACCAGATGGTTTGCTTTGCTGTTTCCAATGGTTGCAACAGGATATTTCCATACTTCTCATCTCCTAACCTCTAAGTCCCACAGCTAAGACTGCTACGCTAAAGATGATGTATGTCTGATGTAGTGGAGATCCAGGAGGCACCATTAACAAAATCAGCAGGTTCACACCTTTAATCCTAGCATTCAGGAGGCAGAGACAGGTGAATCTCTGAGTTTAAGGCCAGCCTGGTCTACAAAACAAGTTTCAGGATGGCCCTGTCTCAAAAAAAGCCCCCCCAATAAAACAAAACACACACACACACACACACACACACACACACACACACACACACACACACACAGAAACTCCCCCCACAAAAATCAACAGGCAGACAGTTTCCTAATTCCCCAGCATTTCTTACCTATGGTCATAGGAGACAGCCGGGACATACCTGTCTCAGGTTGTGTAGCTCTGAATTTGTACGATCTTGCTTTGACTTTGCAATATCAAGTAACTCATCTTTCCTCTTTTCTCTCTCGACTGTATAAGGACAAAAATAATTGGATATTTTTCATCAGCAATATCAATACACATCACTCAGGTTCTAAAGATTTAACAACTAACACTTCTGTTGTGGTTCTTAAATTTAAAAACCGCAGAATGACTGACTGAGAAGAGCTTTCATGTGTGATTCTGACTGAATCCACCATGAAATAGGAATGTGCACAACATAACTGATGTTAAGTCAAAAAAGGATTTAAAGTATAAGCAAAAATAAAGGAAAATATGAAAAAAAGCCTGAAAGTAAGTGAGGCCCAGGAGTACACACCTGTAATTCTATCACTTGGGAGTTGGAAGTGAGAAACTCAGGAATTCAAGGCTAGCCTGGGTTACATTGAGACCCTGACTCAAAACAAAAAACCAAATAATGAACACCAAAGATTAAAAGCAGATATTGAGAAGTGGCTGCTATCTTTATTCACTGAGACACTTTATTCACTCTATGAATCCAGGCTGGACTTAAATTCGGGCTCCTCTTGGAACCTCTCTACACTACCACCTCCGGCTAAGCACTCATTTTTATTTTTAAAAATTTAACTTTTTTATTGTATGTATGTACACCACATGCATGCCTTCAGAGCAGAAGAGGGTACCAAATCCCTTGGAATCACAGCTACAGAAAATTGTGAGCTGTTAGCTGTCAATGCAAGTGCTGGTAATTTAATCTGGGTCCTCTGGAAGAACAGATGCTGAGCCATCTCTCCAGTCCTAGAAATTTATTTTTAACAAGTAGGGCTTGGTGATGTGCACCTATGTTCCCAGATACTCCAGATTCGACACATGAAAATCACTTGAGGCCTAAAGCTAGAGAACAGTCTTGGCAACATAGAAGCGAAAACATATGAAAAAGTTATTTTTAGGAGATGAGGATATGGCTTAGAGGTAGAGTGCTTATTTAGGTTTGATTCCTACCACCAGCATTACAAAAAAGAGTATTATACGAACAAGGTACTATAAAGGTATAGAAACCAGGTACTATTCCCGAACATACATTAACAGTGTACATAAGAACAATTTGAGAGGAAATAGACTCATCAGTTAAAGAAAATATTTTTAAAATCTAACAAAAGCTTAACCCAAAATATCCATGAAATATGGGATACCATAAAAAGGCCAAATCTTAGAATAATAGGAACAGAAGAAGGAGAAGTTCAGTTCAAAGGCACAGAAAATTTATTTAACAAAATCATAGAAGAAAACTTTCCCTACCTAAAGAAAGATATGCCTGTGAAGATACAAGAAGCTTACAGAACACCAAATAGACTGGATCCAAAAAAAAAGGTCCACTTGCCACATAATAATCAAAACACTAAACATACAGAGTAAAGAAAGAATATTAAGAGCTTCAAAGGAAAAAGGCCAAGTAACATATAAAGGTAGACCTATCAGAATTACGCCTGACTTCTCATTGGAGAAAATGAAAGACAGAAGATCAAGGTCAAGCATTATACAGGCATTAAGAGACCATGGATGCCAGCCCAGACTACTACACCCAGCAAAACTGTCGATCACCATAGAAGGACAAAACAAGATATTCCATGACAAATCTAAATTTCACCAATACCTAGCCACAAACCCAGCCATACACAAAATACTAGACGGAAAACTCCAACCCAAGGAAGATGGCTACACCAAAAAAAAAAAAACCACAGACAATTGATGATCTCATTATAGCAAATCCCAAAGAAGAAAAAAAATGCACAAATTAACATCACTAACGATGAAAACTAAATTAACAGGAGATAGCAATCACTGGTCATTAATATCCCATAATATAAATGGACTCAACTCACCTATAAAAAGGCACAGGTTAACAGATTGGATACGAAACAGAATCTATCCATCCTTCTGAATACAAGAAACGCATCTCAACCTATAAGACAGACACCGTCTCAGAGTAAAGGGTTGGGAAAAAAATATACCAATCAAACGGACCTAAGAAACAAGCAGGTGTAGATATCCTGATATCTAACAAAATAGACTTCAAGCTAAAATCAGTCAAAAGAGACAAAGAAGGTCATTTCATATTAGTCACAGGAAAAATCCATCAAGAAGAAATTTCATTACTGAACATCTATGCCCCAAATACAAAGGCACCCTCATATGTGAAAGAAACACTTCTAAAGCTTAAATAATACATTAAACCCCACACACTAATAGTGGGAGACGTCAACACTCCCCTCTCACCACTGGACAGATTAATCACACAAAAAATGAACAGAGAAATAAGAGAACTAACAGATGTTATGACTCAAATGGACTTAACAGACATCTATAGAATATTCCATCCAAACAGAAAAGAATATACCTTCTTCAGCACCTCATGGAACCTTCTCAAAAACTGACCACATACTCGGTAACAAAACAAACCTCAACAAATACAAAAAAAAATGGAATAACCCAATGTATGTTATCAGCACACCATGATTTTAAACTAGAAGCCAACAGCAATACTAATTCCAGAAAGCCCACAAACACATGGAAATTAAACATTGCTCACATGAATCATCAATGGGTCAAGGAAGAAATAAAGGGGAAAATTAAAGATTTTCTAAAATTCAATGAAAATGACCGCAGAGCGTAACCAAATTTATGGGACACAATGAAAGCAGTGTTAAGAGGCAAGTTCATAGCACTAAATGCCTACATAAAGAAGCTGGAAAAATCCCACACTGGTGAATTAATAGAACATTTGAAAATTTTTGAACAAAAAGAAGAAAACTCATCTAAGAGAACTAAACGGCAGGAAATAATCAAATTGAGAGCTGAAATTAACAAAATAGAAACAAAGAAAACAATACAAAGAATCAATGAGACAAAAAGTTGGTTCTTTGAGAAAATCAACAAAATAGACAAACCTTTATCCAAACTAACCAAAAGGCAAAGAGAGAATATCCAAATTAACAAAATCAAAAATGAAAAGGGGGACATAACAATAGATACAGAGGAAATACAGAGGATCATCAGGTCATATTTTAAAAACCTGTACTCCACAAAATTGCAAAACTTAAAGGAAATGAACAACTTTCTGGATAAATATTACTTACCAAAATTAAAACAAGACCAGATAAGCAAATTAAACAGGCCTATAACTGCTGAAGAAATAGAAACAGTCGTCAAAAATCTCCCAATCAAAAAAAGTCCAGGACCAGATGGCTTCAGCTCAGAATTCTACATGACTTTCAGAGAAGAACTAATACCAATACTCCTCAAATTATTCCACACAATAGAAACAGAAGGAACATTGCCAAACTCTTTTTATGAGACTACAATTACCCTGATACCCAAACCACAGAAATACATTACTAAGAAAGAGAATTACAGACCAATTTCACTCATGAACATTGATGCAATAATACTAAATAAAATACTAGCAAATCGAATCCAAGAACACATCAGAACCATCATCCACCATGACCAAGTTGGCTTCATCCCAGAGATGCAGGGATGGTTCAACATATGAAAATCTGTCAACGTAATCCACCATATAAACAAGCTGAAAAATAAAAATCACATGATCATCTCATTAGATGCCGATAAAGCTTTTGACAAAATACAGCATCCCTTCATGATGAAGGTCTTGGAGAGAGCAGGGATATAAGGAACATATCTAAACATAATTAAGGCAATATACAGCAAGCCAATAGCCAACATTAAACTAAATGGAGAGAAACTCCCAGCGATTCCACTGAAATCAGGAACAAGACAAGGTTGTCCACTCTCTCCATATCTATTCAATATAGTTCTTGAGGTCCCTAGATAGAGCAATAAGACACCAAAGGGAGATCAAGGGGATAAAAATTGAAAAAGAAGAAGTCAAACTGTCACCGTTCGCTGATGATATCATAGTTTACATAAGTGATCCCAAAAATTCTACCAAGGAACTTTTACAACTCATAAACACTTTCAGCAATGTAGCAGGATACAAGATTAACTCAAAAAAAAATCAGTAGCCCTCCTGTACACAGATGATAAAAGGGCTGGGGAAGAAATCAGAGAATCAACACCTTTCACAATAGCCACAAATAGCATAAAATATCTCGGAGTAACTCTAACCAAACAAGTGGAAGACTTGTATGACAAGAACTTTAAATCTTTGAAGAAGAAAATTGAAGAAGACACCAGAAAGTGGAAAGATCTCCCATGCTCTTGAGTAGGCAGAATTAACATAGTAAAAATGGCAACCTTACCAAAAGCAATCTCGCAATGCCCATCAAAATCGCAGCAAAATTCTTCAAAGACCTCGAAAGAATAGTGCTCAACTTCATGAGGAAAAGCAAAAAACCCAGGATAGCCAAAACAATCTTGTGCAATAAAAGAACTTCTGGAGGCATCACAATCCCTGACTTCAAACTCTACTACAGAGCTACAGTACTGAAAACAGCCTGGTATTGGCATAAGAACAGACAGAAGGACCAATGGAACCAAATAGAAGACCCGGATATCAATCTGCACATCTTCGAACACCTGATCTTTGATAAAGAAGCAAAAAATATCAAATGGAAAAAAGAAAGCATATTTAACAAGTGGTGCTGCCATAACTGGATATCAACATGTAGAAGAATGAAAATAGACCCATATCTATCACCATGCACAAAGCTCAAGTCCAAATGGATCAACGACCTCAACATAAAGCCAGTCACATTGAACCTTACAGAAGAGAAAGTGGGAAGTATACTTGAACACACTGGCACAGGGAACCACTTCCTAAATATAACCCCAGCAGCACAGACACTGAGAGAAACAATTAATAAATGGGACCTCCTGAAACTGAGAAGCTTCTGTAAAGCAAAGGACATGGTCAACAAGACAAAACGACAGTCTACAGAATGGAAAAAGATCTTCACTAACCCCACATCAAACAGAGGTCTGATCTCCAAAATATACAAAGAGGGGCTGGAGAGATGGCCCAGAGATTAAGAGCACTGACTGCTCTTCCAAAGGTCCTGAGTTCAATTCCCAGCAACCACATGGTAGCTCACAACCATCTGTAATGAGATTTGGTCCCTCTTCTGGCCTGCAGGGATACATGCAGGCAGAACACTGTATACATAATAAATAAATTAAAAAATATATATACAAAGAGCTCAAGAAATTGGACACCAAAATATCACATAATCCAATAAAAAAAATGAAGTACAGGCCTAAACAGAGAACTCTCAACAGAGGAATCTAAAATAGCTGAAAGACACTTAAGAAAATGTTCAACATCCTTAGTCATCAGAGAAATGCAAATCAAAACAACTCTGAGATTCCATCTTACACCTGTAAGAATGGCCAAGATCAAAAACACTGATGACAACTTATGCTGGAGAGGTTGTGGAGAAAAGGGAACACTTCTGCATTGCTGGTGGGAATGCAAGCTGGTACAACCTCTTTGGATGTCAGTGTGGTGATTTCTCAGAAAATTAGAAAACAACCTTCCTCAAGACCCAGTAATACCACTTTTGGGTATATATCCAAAGGATGCTCAATTGTGCCACAAGAACATGTGCTCAACTATGTTCATAGCAGCTTTGTTTGTCATAGCCAGATCCTGAAAACAACCTAAATGCCCCTGGATCTAAGAATGGATAAGAAAAAAATGTGGTACATTTACACAATGGAGTACTATACAGCAGAAAAAAATAACAATGGCTTGAATTTTGCAGAAAAATGGATGGAACTAGAAAACATTATTTTGAGTGAGGTAACCCAGACACAGAAAGACAATTATCACATGTACTCACTCATAGGTGGTTTTTAAACATAAGGCAAAGAAAGCCAGCCTACAAACCACAATTCCAGAGAACTTGGGCAACCAATGTGGACACTAAGAGAGATTTACATAGATCTAATCTACATGGGAAGTAGAAAGTAGAAAAAGACAAGATCTCCTGAGTAAATTGGGAGCATGGGTATCTTGGGGGAAGACTGAAGTGCGGAGAAGAGAGGCAAGGAAGGGAGCAGAGAAAAATGTAGAGCTCAATAAATATCAATAAAAAAAGAAAAAAAGAAAAAGAAAAGAAAGGAAGACGAGGAAGGCCCAGAATGAGGAAAAAAAAAGAATTGATTTGAGCCAAATGGTGGTGGTGTATGCCTTTAATCCTAGCACTCGGGAGACAGAGGCAGGTGGATCTCTGTGAGTTCGGGACCAACCTGGTCTACAGAGCAAGTTCCAAGACAGTCAGAGCTATAAAGAGAAACCCTATCTCATGGCAGGAAGAAGAACGGATTTGATTCACATAGTCACATAAGCAATAAATGCTTCACATAAAAAATCCAAGAGATAGAAATTAAATTATTCTTATTTGGTATTGTCTTAGTTACTTTATTTTATACTTAGTACTTTAGTTAGTTACTGAGTTACTTTCTATTGCTGTGAAGAGACACCATGACCAGAACAACTTATAGAAGAATTTATTGGGGGCTTACAATTCCAGAGGGTTAGAATCCATGACTATCATGTCGGGAAGCAGCAGCTGAGAACTTAGATCTCCATCCACAAATAAGAGGAGAGAAAGGGCTGGAGAGATGATTCAGTGGTTAGGGGTGCTTACTGCTCTTCCAGAGAACCAGAGTTCAGTTCCCAGAACCCATCTCAGGCAGCTCACACCTGCTTGTAACACCAACCCCAGGGATGCCCTCTTCTGGTCTTCAGAGCACTGAAATCACATGTGCACACACACACATACACCTCACAATTTAAAATAAAAAAAATAAAGTCTTAAAAAAAAATAAGAGGCAGAGAGAGCTTTTGAAACATCAAAGCCCACCCGCAATGGCACAGAGATCCACTTGCCTTTGTCTACTGGGATTAAAGGCATGCACCACTACAACGTGCTATACTTTGGTTTTTATATTACTGGGGAATAAACTCAAAGTATAACAAGCAAGCACTCTACCAAGTGAACTACATCCCTAGCTCCCTCAATTTACTTTTATAATTAAAACATACAAAAACTGTTTTTGAAACAATGATGTATAATTGTCTTCTGTAGAAAGGCAATCAGTTGAAGAAATGTTTTTTAAAAGTTATTCCCCCAAATGTATTATAGTTGTATTTAACAAGTCTCATACATTTTACAAATCAAGAAGACTTTTATATTTATGAATTAGGGGTGGGCTGGGTGTGATAGCACACACCTAAAAGTCTCAGTTCAAGACCATATTGGGGGCTGATGGTGCAAAATGGGCTGTAATCTAGACTTCATCTTCAGACCTTCCCAGGCAGTGTCATATATACACGTCTGTGTGTATCTTAACACAACTGAAGACTTGTATGACACTTGCCTTTGGCAACACACCTCAGAGTGCACTAGAGGAAGTCAAGCAGTGTCTCCGCAGTATTTGCTTAGTTCTAATTCTCTGTGGCCTGTGAGTGTCTTGGCTTTAGTGGAATCACATACAGGCTGACTCAGATTGTCTGATTTCAACCATGGGGTATATCTTTAGCTACATACAAGGCATAACTAAGACAGAAATCCTAGAAATAATCAACACAGTGACCTCTAGTGGTGAAACTGGCACTGCCTTACCCTAATCCTTAAGAGGAGGATTGAAATGAATGAAGGATTCCATTGTACTTGAAAATTCTAAAGGTGTTTCTCTTTAAACTGTTAAGAATTTATTCTCCTCTTAAAAGGAGGGAGATTGAGGAAAAGAATGGCTAGACCATGGGGGCTGGAGAGATGGCTCAGAGGTTAAGAGCACTCTGACTCTTCTTCCAGAGGTCCTGAGTTCAATTCCCAGCAACCACAGGACAGCTCACAACCATCTAAAATGAAATCTGGAACCCTCTTCTAGGGTGCAGGTACACATGCAGGCAGAATACTGTATATGTAATAAATAAATAATCTTTTAAAAAAAATGGGCTAGACCAAAATGTTCATCTAATTTTCTCTTTGAAAATTTCCCTTCCGAACTATGATTGTCTTAATACTCCTGCAAAATGAGAGCCTAGGGAAACCTTGGTGGGCAGGGGTATCAATAAGCTCCACAGTGAGGAGGGAGAGAATTTCAATGCTGGATGTTTCAGGTGGGATGGGCAGGAGCCATGATGGGGAAGGTGGTGTGTGGTGGGAAGGCCTGGGACAATTACACATGACACCAACTAATGAAGATTTGAATCGTTGCACCAGTGCAACAATACACATGAGCTTTTCCCCAGTTTACCAACTGAAGGTAATTAATTTGCAAAACTCAATGCTGAGCCAGGCAATGGTGGCACACGCCTTTAATCTCAGCACTTGGGAGACAGAGGCAAGCGGATGTCAGTGAGTTCAAGGCCAGCCTGGTCTACTAGAGCTAGTTCCAGGACAGATCCCAAAGCTACAGAGAAACCCTGTCTCAAAAAACCAGGGGAAAAAAAAACTCCAAACAAAAAAACTCAATGCTGAATTCCCAAAGAATTTTTCAGTGCTGGAGGCCAAGTCTAGTGGTAGGTTACTCCCCAGCCCTTTGGACTCCTGATAGTTTATTAGCATTTGTGAAATTATACAAACCTTCCCCTCAACAATCCATATGATTCTTTTTAGATGATGTTACTTCTGATCCTTCTGCCTCCACCTTCCAAGTTCTGTTATTACAAGTTATGTGCTATCAGGCCCAGCTACTGTGTGCTGGGTGGACACTCCACCAACTGAGCCACACTCCTACCCTAAAACGAACTTTCCAGCAGGAGTATCTTCTTTTTCTTGAGGAGCATAAAGACCCATTCAAGTTGGACAAGCTGTAGCTCCACTTTACGGGGAGAAAAACAACTACTTGGAGGGGAATAAAAATGTTTAAACTTTGCCCAAAGGTGATGGCACACCCCTTTGATCTCGGCACTCAAGAGGCAGAGGCAGGTGGATCTCTGTGAGTTCAAGGCCAGCCTGGTCTACAGAGTGAGTTCTAAGACAGTCAGGGCTACCCAGTTAAACTTCATCTCGGAAAAAAAAACAAAAATAAATAAACATGTTAAAACTCAGGGCTACAGAGTTAAACTCTGTCTCAAAAACCATAAATAAACAGATAAATAGATATAAAAAACTGTTAAAACTCAAGCACAGCCCCTTATCAATCTCTTAGAAGTCTGGGAAACACACAAAAGCTTATTTTTTAGGGAAGTGTACATCCTTTAGCCTGTGACAAAAAGCTGCGGTTACAAACATGCAACTATTCAAATACTTCATCCAGTTCTTTACCAGTAAATGTTAATTCGTCATGCAGGCAACTTTTCTCTTGCTTGAGGCGAATGATCTCTTCTCGTTGTTCATTGTTTTCCGTTGTCTTCTCATTTAGATCCTCTTCATAAACAGAAGGGAGAGAAATCCTCAGGTAAATGCCAACCTCTGGGAAACACAGACACTACACAAAACCTCCACGTGTTCAGAAGCCTCTGAGGACCGTGCTGGGTCTACAGTTGGGCCATTCACTATCTCTGGCCTGGTTTCTCTTGCTACACCCAGGGGATACAGAACAATCTTTAAAAAGAAAAACTTCTTGTGGGGGTTGGAGAGATGGCTAAGTGGTTAAGAGCATTGCCTGCTCTTCCAAAGGTCTCGAGTTCAATTCCCAGCAACCACATGGTGGCTCACAACCATCTGTAATGAAGTCTGATCCCCTCTTCTGGCTTGCAAGCATACATGCAGACAGAATATTGTATACATAATAAATATTTAAAAAAAAAAACTTCTTGTGTCATTTTTGGTAAGAAGCCCTCCCTTGCACTCAGATAAAACCTAAATCCATTACTGTAAACGGCAAAGCCGACAGTGACATGGCCTTCCTTGTTCCCAACCCCTCTCCCTTTCTTTCTCTCAGTTCTCTGACTGCCTATGGGATAAAAAAAGAAATAATTTGGGTTTTGTTCTTCAGTCTTGGTGAACAGCTTCTGGATCTCTTGGAATTTCCTGAATATTGATTATAATAACGCTCAGGAAGCTGAAGCAGGAGGATCATAAATTTGTGGGTACCCTAGGTTATGCTATATGACAAGACCTTGTCTCAAAAGACAAAACAAAGCCAAATGAAACAAAAAAGGTACTGTTCCAGATCCCACCCTAGTTAGTGTCTGGAACCCACTGTTCACCAGCCAGTCCTAGGCCATCAAGGGTTAGAACTTTCAGCCCTACTCAGCAGCCTCCAAACCAAGGGAGGGCTGAAGACAGAGCTCTATTAAGGCTTCAGAGGACTTGAGATGGAGAGTCCCAGATATATACACGTGTGTGGGGGGGTATCAGGTTTGCTTTCGGAGAGGACCTTGGAGCTCTGCACATAAAGCCACGCCCAGAGTTTCCGCTAGCAAGGGGGCAAAGTGCTTCCCTGAGCCGTTGTCAGTGATGGAGGCTGCTCAGGTCATTGTAGGAGCTCTTGCTTTACTGCCAGGTGGTTGGTGAGTTGGTGTGAGGCTCCCCTGGGATTTGGGACTGGTGTCTTAAGTGGGAACAGTCTTGTGGACATGAACCTGAGGGATGGTCACTAACACCAGGCACGTAGCATCATAAGCATCAAACTGAATTGAATGTCTGTGCAAAACTGGTAAAGGAGAAACACAGGGTTTCTTTTTCCAACAAGGAAATAAACAAATCAGGAATGACCCCCTCTTAAGATCTACTCTAGGCCTTCTTGTTTTCTGCCAAGAAGGTTCCCGGTGGGGTCTGGCTACAGTTCTGTCTACAGTCCAGTTATAGTTCAAATGCTAACTCTTCAAATTTACTTTCTCAGTCAACCTAGACTAAATGAGTTTCTCTCCCTTGCTCTCTGTTCTACTTCCCATTACCCTACTTTTTAAAATGTTTTAAATAAATATTGGGTCAATTAAATATTCATAAAACATAAATACTGGCACAGCAGACTTCTTGAATATCCTACTTGGCACACACACATTCTCAGTAAACACTGGTGACCCACAGTGTATATCCTTGGTGTTGTGCTGACCCAAAGACAAAGAGATACAGCCTGCCCCCACTACTGGCATGGGGATTTAGCTGATGTTATAACGGAGACAGGACTTATAATCATTGGTGAAAACATGGTAAGGCCAAGACTATTACATTAAATTGGTCAAGAAAAAAGTTTCAGATTTAGGAGGCAGGGTTAAGTCTAGGCTGACCTTTGAAATCCCTATGTAGTGAAGAATAACCTAGAATTAATGATTTCCCTGCTTCTGCCTCTTAAGAGCTGGTACCTGTACTACTATGCCTGGCTCAAATTTCAGAATCTCTTAGTTAACAATTTAGTTTGAGAATACACAGCAATCCTCTTCACATAATGCTTATGCTTGACTATGTCCAGCAAGACTAAGCTATTGTCTCTAATGATTTATTTATTTTTTATTTTATGTACTTTAGTATTTTGACTGCATATATGACCTGTATATCTGTATGGGGATCTCCTGGAATTGAAGTTACAGACAGCTGTCATGTAGGGGCCGGGAATTGAACCCAGGTCCTCTGGAAGAGCAGCCAGTGCTCTTAACCACTGAGCCATCTCTCCAGCCCTGGCACTGTCTTATGAAACATTTTATCCTGGGCAGGGATGAGAATAACTTCCTCAAGCTGTGGCTCTGCAGCAGCTCCTCAGAGGCTGACTGAGCAGTCAATCCTCTAACCTGACCCTGTCGCTGTTATGCCCAAATCCACAAAGTCCCTGCAAAAGCCAACAAGGAAACCGAGTCCTATATGTGAAAACAAAGAGCCTTTATTTTAATCAAGTTTGCAAACTCGGTCTCTCTGCATGTCCAATGTATTGGAACAACTGGAGAGCCCCGAGCTCAATTAGAATTGGGTTTTTATAGTAGTAAAGGTTGGGGTGAGGGGTTTCTGAGATTTAGGATCCTTGATTGGCTGACATTTGTCTAGGGGTGTCTTGGTGAGTGTGTACTGGTAGGAGGTCATATCTACGGCAGTTAGAATGCTAGGCATTTCCTTTGAATGGGTCTGTTCTGGGGTGGTGTTAGGTAATCTCAGTTTGTGGTTCTTTCTGCAACCAGGCCTCTTATTAAATTTATCGATGGCCGAGTTCTACTCTGGCAGGTGATAATGGTTGGAAGTAAAGAACTTTCATACTTAGTGTATCGTGGCTGGTCCCCACAGTCACCATTTATAAAACAGTGGCAGATGTGAGGCTGAAACAACAGCTCCTCAGGTCCACAGTCAACTCAGCACCTACGCACTGGTCAACCGAACCCTGGGGGAAGACCAGAAAGGAGTGGACCTACTTCTAGGCCTTCCCAGATCAATATACATTGACACTATCACAGGTATTCTTATTCACACACACACACCACTGCCACAACATTTGGTCTACCTTTCACTAGAAAACACCAAAAATCAAAAAGAAATGAATTACAGAAGTACCTAGAACAAAACTAGAAAACCACCCAAAGCCACAGTGAGACTACACTGGTGCTGACCCCTCAATTCCCAATAGGATTTTACTATTTCTCCCCAAAGAGCTGAGCAGTTCCCCACTGACTGACTTTGGGTTTGGCCACATGACTTGCTTATGAGGCAGAATGACACTGTGGCAGATTCAGGCCTAAACCTTAAAAATCTCCAATTGATTCTGGGTTGTTGTTTTTTAAGTTTCTGCCCTCACTGTGGGAAGAGATACTCTGGCTAGCTCGTGGGTGAGGAGAACGACAGCTGAAGCAGAACTGGTCAATGAGAAGCCTGGCTGGGTCCACTCATTTGGACCAACTCACAGCTGCTGCATTGCGCTGCACTATTTGTTACAGGATGTGTCAGCAACAGCTAACTGATACAGCCAAGCGAACTGAAGCAGAATTCCTAAAAATAAGATTCAGGTCCCCTGTAATCAGATTGATGACTACCTTAATTGTCATCATAGAACCTTCAATCAGTAACTGATGGAAGCAGATGCAGAAATTCACAGCTAAGCACTGGGCCGAACTCTTGGTGTCTGTCACAGAGAGGGAGGAGGAATATGATGGGACAACCCACAGAATCAGCTGACCTGAGCTCACTGACTCTGGACGGACAGCTGGGGAACCTGTACAAGACTAAGCCTCTGAATGTGGGTGACAGTTGTGTGGCTTGGGCAGTTTGTGGGACTACTAGCAGGGGGAGCAGTATTTATCCCTACTGTGTGAACTGGCTCTTTATACAGGGGGGAGGCCCTGGTCCTGCCTGATCCTGAGCAATGGAAGGGGGGTGGGATGGGGAAAAGGTTGGGGGAGAGGGTGAACAGGAGAGAGAGAAAGAACTGGGATTGGTATGTAAAATAAGATTTTTTAAAAAAAAATTTTTTAAAAATATGATTCAGGTTTGGGGACTTAGCAAGTACAAGGTCCTGGGTTCAGTTCTCTGCTCTAAAAAAAAAAAGGATGAAGTTTAACCACAATTTCATTATCTTGTATCACAAAACTTGTAGCATAATTCTATATAAATGAGACAGACATTGCATGTTAGGATTCACAGCCAGAATAAACCCACTCTCAAGTATACAGTTAAGGAAACTCAGATAAAGAAATAATTCCCGACAATACTATCTTAACTTATTTTCTTACCTTTCAGTTTATTGACTTCAATCTTAAGTGCCTTCAATTTCTGCTTGTAATCTTGCTTTTCTTTCACAATACAAGTCTCTGCCATCTTTGCATCACGTAAAGCATGCTCTAACAATTTAAATTTACCAGAACAGTCTGAAATGTGATTGACTGCCTCAATAATATCTTTGTCCTTAAAAAAAAAAAAACCAAGAAGAAAACTGTTAGTCTAGATTTTTAGATTCTAAATAATCAGTAAGGTTGTTCTTACTTAGACTGGACTGTGCAGTGAGTTCCTGTCTACACGCCTTGCAGGTTTACTCAGTTGCTGTAACTCTATGCTAGCACCAAGTGGCAAAGGAATCAATCAGCAGACACAAAAAAATTCTTATCTGACCATGGCGCTGAAGCAGCCATTTCAGTGTAGTTGACTGGCTTGGGAAACCGTGTGCTGTCACGACACCTTACTTTCTCTTGAAAAGTTGAAAGTCAGACATTTTTTTGATTTTTTGATACAGGGTTTTGCTGTAGCTTTTTAGAGCCTGTCCTGGAACTCGCTCTGTAGACTAGACTGGCCTAGAACTCACAGAGATCCACCTGCCTCTGCTTCCCAAGTGCTGGGATTAAAGGCGTGTGTCACCACTGTCCAGTTGAAAGCCAGACTTTTTCTTTTTTTTTTTTAGGTAGAGTCTCTTTACATAGGCTTGGCTGTCCTGTAACTTGTTCTGTAGACCAGGCTGGCTTCAAATTCACAGAGATCTGCCTGCCTCTGCCTCCAAGTGCTGGGATTAAAGGCGTGTGCCACCACATACAGCAAGAATTAAACAATTTGATGGCCAGGCTGTTCAGCAAGTGGTATGTTGGCTGTTCTTCAACGGGGTTGTTATTCTCTGGATGACAGTTAAGTCCTGTGGGGCCAAGATTTCCGACCTACATTTAGTTTGTTAGAAGAACAAACTCTTACGACCTCATCCAGCCAACATGCTGCATTAGAAGCTTTTATAGTTAAAAAGCAATTCTAACTATAACTAATGTACAACAGTAAATGGTTGAAGTAACTTACTGGTAGAGCATGCCTACCGTGTGTGAGGTCCCAGATTCAATCCTCAGACTCAGGGACACTTGCTGAAACACATGATTAACAGGTATAACTTCCTGAGCACACCCACAGCTCTGGCATTCTGATTAAAAAACCAAACTCACAAGCTTGTAGGACTTTATGGAGAGATAAAGGATTGGAGTGAACCACTCAATAGCTAGTAGAAGACTGGGTATGGTGGAATCTCAGCATTATGGAGGCTAAGGGAGGAGGATCAATGAGTCCTAGGCCAGCCTGGGCTATATTACAAGTTTCATGCCAGTAGAAAAAACAAAACAAAATCAGAAACAGTGGAAGGGCTAATGATGTAGCTCAGTGGTAGAGTGCTTACCTAGCATGTAAAAAGACCTGGGTTCAGTCCCCACCACCATAAATTAAAAAAATTATTAAAAAAATAACACAAGTTGGGTGGTAGTGGCGCAAGCTCCAGGACAACCAGGGCTACACAGTTAGAAAGTCTGTCTCAAACAAACAAACAAACAAAACAACTTTATGTTGAGACCAGTTTTAAAGTAATATAAGCAGTTGAGCCAATGACAAGAGAGAGAATTCCTTCAGTCCTTGTCAGCCTTAAACAAGGAGCTTGGAGCTCCTGCTTCAGTCTTTCTAAGTATGTCCCAACAAGTCTGTGCTTCTACTAAAGACTGTTTTCCTCATTAGGACTTTGTTCGTGGGTGTGCTGCTTCATTATGAACACACTGTCCTACCATGGGAAACACTTGGAGACATCTTCATTATCTCATAACCTCTGCCAGTGCTGTGATGGACACGATGCTGGTCATTATTATAACTAAAGCTAATTCTACACATTTTAATATTTTTCTCTTTAATTTTCAGAAAGTTTGCTCATGATCACATTCCAGCATTAATGTTGGGGGAAATTACAGGTGAATTCATACAAATGTCCCACTACACCAACATCTCCTTTTGCTTAGTAACCGCCAAAGACGCATGAGGCAGAGGGGTGCCCACTCTTTCTGAGGAGCTTGTGTGTCACACTCTACCAGTGTGGGCTGGGATTTTGATCTGTTTAGCGAATGACTTTTGGGGAAGCAAGCCCTAGGATGTGGTCTTATCTGCCTACTGCACAGTTAAAGGCTGAGGGAGAGGGTTGCTTCCCTCTTGCTCTCACACTCTCTTGGGTAGTCAGAGCACAGCAAGTAACCAAGAGACGCTTGTGTGGTTGGTACTCTTCACCGGGGCAAAATGACTGGACAGAGGCAGCTGGATCAGCCACGGCGCTTAGAGGATTCTGTATCAGTGAGTGTCTGTCCCTACCCTATACTTAATAAGTACTTGAGACCCTTTAACAGACTCACATGGTTTCACATAACACCAGTGTTTGGCGGCTGCCAGTTTTCCTCTGTCTTATAAAAGACTAACAAGCTCTAATGGTCAATATCTTCAGGAGACCTACAGCAGGTACCCGGGAAGGGAACAGATTCACTGAGATGAAGGGCAGAAGCTCTGGGAGCACCGTGTAAACCTTTCTTTCATTTTTGAAAGGAGAAGATGAAATTAGCAATGTTAGAGGCTCTGTTTCTGGGCTGCTAAGGACTTGGGGAGAGTGGAGTGTGTGGGTGAGCTCTGCAGGCTACAGAGTGCTCTGGAGTGGAGGTGTGGTATTTCAATTACCTTTAGCTTTATCATGGTAGTGAGAGCCTGCTCTCTAGCTTGCAATTGTCCTACCTGAGCAGAAAGTTCCACTAACGTGCTGCTGAGATTTTCATTTCTAGCCTACAAGGGAACAACACAGAAAATACTGAGTCTGCAAATGCTTTCATTATGTTACCAACCACAATCAACACTCATTTTTCTGTTTTTCAAATTTAACATTTTTAAGGAACAAAGTGGGCTAAGTAAGCAATTATCAAAAAATGCAAATACCTATTCTTCTATTAATTCTAGCTTTTTACCAATATTTAACAATTGTTCTAACTTGTATTGATTTATATAGATTAAGTTTATAAACATTTATTTTTATTTTTAAGTAAAATCATTTTAATTAACTCACAAATGAAATACCACACAACTGGTTTAAGGAAGCCACTCAAAACCTTGCCCAGTCCCAAATTCAGTGCCTTTCCAGGAACACAAGGTGACTGTCCTGAAGTCATGGATCTTTGCTTCTGAGCTCACACTTTCACAACTACAGTTTCTATTCACCATCCAGAACAGCAACAAAAAATCTATGATAGTTGAAACTACAAAAAATATAAACTGTATCTTCTTTCGTGAGTCATGTCCTTTTCCTTTTTTTTTTTTTTTTTTTTTTTTTTTTGATTTTTTGAGACAGGGTTTCTCTGTAGTTTTTGGTGCCTGTCCTGGAACTAACTCTTGTAGACCAGGCTGGCCTCGAACTCACAGAGATCCGCCTGCCTCTGCCTCCCGAGTGCTGGGATTAAAGGCGTGCGCCACCACCGCCCGGCTTAAATTTTCATACCTATTTTTTTTTTATAATTTTAGGTTGTGAGAAAAGAAGAAAATAAACGAATGAGAACTGGATTTCCATAAAAGAAGTAGCCTTTGTGAATTCTGTACATCTTTTTTATATCCAGGCTAAAAGAACTTTACACTGGGTTTGGTTCAATATGCCAATATACATTTTCAAAAATTCATAAAAAGCAAAACACAAAATGTAAGCTGTTACCTAAACTGAATTTGAGGTGATAATGATGTATCCACTCACATTCATCAGTTACATCAAAAAGACCACTGTGATGCAGGGCCTTAGAAGTGGGGGAAGCTGTGTGTGTGGATACAGCAGACATGGGAACTCTGTACTTGCCATACGATTTAGCTGTGCCCCTCAAACTGTTCTAAAATATACAACTTAGCTGAGCATAGTGGCACAAACTGTAATTACAGCATTCAAGAGGCTGAGGCAGAGGACTGCAAGTTTGAGATCAGGCTGGGCTTCATAGTGTGGCTAACTTAAAAAAACAAAGTTGGATGGGGCTGGCGCATGCCTTTATCCAAGCACTTGGGAGGCATAGGCAGACAGATCTATGTGAGTTCGAGGCTAGCCTAGTGTACAGATCAAATGCCAGGACAGGTTCCAAAGCTACACAGAGAAACCCTGTCTCAAAAATAATAATATAAAATAAAGTTTTATAAAAATAAAAAATTAAAATTAATAACAATAGATGAAGAAAGAAAGAAAGAAAGGAAGGAAAGAAGGAAGGAAGGAAAGAAGGAAAGAAGGAAGGAAGACTGAGGACTTAATCTTTCCAATTTTATAGCAAATATGTAACTACTTTTGTTTTGTGTGCATTTATCATAGCAGAGAGACCTTAGGTTAACTTCAATACTTGAGAGGCTGAGACTGGAGAACTTCAGTTCAACACTAACTAGAAGAGACTAAAGGAGACATGAAAAAAGGACTGGAATACTTAAAGGCCCTGGGTTTAATCTTCACTACAGGAAAAGAAGAGGAGAAAGGAAGAGAGAGGGGAAAAGGGAAGGGGGGAGGGGAGGGAAGGGAAGGGATTCAGAATTTAGAAAGCCAAACTCAAAGCTATCAAAACTTGAAGGTACTTATTTCAGACTTCGAGAAAGGCTTTCTGAAATAACCCGTTGTTGGTAAAATGGACAATGCTTCTAAACCAAACAGCAAAACCCTTTATGGGCTGTAATGAAACTTCACCTACAGGACAGAGCACTGCCGTACAGCTAGCCAGAAAGCATGGAGAACACAAAGCTAAGATGGATAGAACACACACTTCCACACACACACATATCCTTGTTTGTTTGTTTTCTCTGTGGCTTTGGAGCCTGTTCTGGAACTAGCTCTTGTAGACCAGGCTGGTCTGAAACTCACAGAGATCTGCCTGCCTCTGCCTCCCAAGTGCTGGAACTGCCCAGCTGCGCATATCCATTTATGGTGACATTTAAGGTTAATTTTTCTGTAACTAAAACCCAGAATTTGGACTAATGAAGTTGTTAAAATTAAAACCAACCTCAAGGTCTTCCGAGAGGAGGGCAGAATGTGTAGCCTTTTGAGCCATTTCCTGGAGCTGTTGCTGAGTCTTCTGAAGAGCTGTCTGACACTCCACTTGATTGGATTCAAGGACTTTGACCTTCTTCATGAGAGACTTGATTATGTCAGTTCTTTTATGCAGCTCACCTGAGGGAAATTTCAGTCACTGTGTCTGTGCCGAGATGTAACAGGCAGTATTTTCAAAATCAGATCACAGAGTAAAGGTGTGTTATGCGTTTTAAAGACATTTTATTCTGAAATGCACAAGACCTAACTTGTATCTCAGAAATAAACATTGGCATCGACCAAGAAGTCACTTCCTATACACACAATCGCTGTTAGTTCCCACTTTCCGAGACCCTGATCTCAGAAGTGCTGAGATCACCCACTCCTCATGCTGAGGACAGTATGTCAAGCATCTGTCTGCCCACCATGGAGCCCAGCACCTTGCCTTCTACTGTTGCTACGCTGCTATCTCTCTCTGCATCCACCCCAGAGCACAGTGTGAACCACACACAGATAGAATTATACTCAGGAGTTTGTCTCTTCACGTGGTTTGCCTAAGATTAAGATCCTGAGAGCCACCCATGCTGTAACTTGTGTTTATCGCTAACACGGCAACATGAAAGTCTATTAAATTATAACGCCAACATGTATTTACCTACTCTACTACTGGTGATTATCTAGGTTGTGTCTACTCTGCAGCTGTCAAGTAGTGTTGCTCTGAATGTCCATTTACATGTGTCTTGGGGCATATTTGCTTTGCTACTCAAAATGTGGTCCTTGACCGTGGAGCACCAGCATCACTGGGGAAATGGCTAGAAATGAGGACCACTAAACCAGGCACAGCATCTGTAATCCCAGCAGCCGAGCACCAGGCAAGTGAAGACAGTAAGATTAGGAGCTCAAGATCATCCTTTGCTACAAAGCAAGTTCAAAACCAGCCTGAACTACAGAACACCCTTTCCAAAATTAAAAAAAAGAAAAAGAAAAAGAAAGGAAGAACGAAAGAAGGAAAGAAGAAGGAAGGAAGGAAAACAATGTGCTGAAGAGATGACTGACTCAGAGTGTAAGTTTAAGTACTAAAACTGCTCTTGTTGAGGACTCAATTTTGGCTCCTGGCCCCCATACTGAGTGGCTCACTACTGCCTGTAACGCCAGCTCTAAAGGATAAGACTCTCACCGGCGCCTCTCAGCCAAAAGCACTTACCCGTGTGTACATATCCACACACATATCCCACATAGTAAAGAATAAATAAAGGCTGGAAAGATGGTTCGGTGTTGCTCTTGAAGACCTGGATTTGGTTCCCATTACCCACGGCAGCTTACAACTACCTGTATTTCCAGTTCCAGGTGATCCAACACCCTCTCCTGGCCTTGGAGGGCACCAGGCACATATATGATGCACGTACATACATCCAGGCAAAGCACCCAAACATATAAAATAAAAATAATAAATGAGGGGCTAGAGAGATGGCTCAGAGGTTAAGAGCACTCGCTGATCTTCCAGAGACCTTGAATTCAATTCCCAGCAACAACATGGCAGCTCACAACCACCTATAATGAGATCTGGTGGCCTCTTCTAGCATGCAGGCACACATGCAGTCAGAACACTGTATATATAATAAATAAATCTTTAAGAAATAAAAATAATAAATGAATCTATTAATAAATAAAGGATTGTTAGGTGGTGGTGGGTGCATATCTTTAATCCAAGCACTTGGGAGGCAGAGGCAGGAGGATCTCTGTGAGTTTGAGGCCAGCCTGGTCTACAGAGTGAGTTCCAGGACAGCTAGGACTGTTACACAGAGAAATCCTGTCTCGAACCCCGCCCCCCAAAACAAATCAAAAAAGAAGAGGTTAGAGAGAAGATGGCTCAGTGGTTAACAATACTGGCTGTTCTTCAGAGGACCCAGGTTCAATTCCCATTACCTACATGGTAGTTTACAACTTTAACTTCACTCCCAGAGGATCCGACATCCTCTTTTGACCTCTGAACACACTGCGTGCATGTGGTACACAGGCAAACATGGAAGCAAAAACCCCCATATACATTAAAATTTTTAAAAGTTTTTTTAATCAAAAAAAAAACAAAAACAAAAACAAAGAATGCAGACTCTTAATCCCAAGCCTATTATATCAGAATCTACTATTTTGGGGGATGAGGCTGGAGGTTGCTAGGCTTGGAACCCAGGGCTTCAAGTACTTTCCCAGTGAGATATATTCCTCAGCCCACAGTCTGCATTTAGTAAGTTCGCTAGGCAACTAAAGTGAAACTTCCTGGAGGTGGAATGGCTGGACCACAGCTAGAACATCTTCCAGCCTTTAGACCCTTCCTTATGTAAAGGATTCATACATCTTCAACTTTACCGGGCACTGTGAAATGATTTCCCAAAGTAATTGTGCCAACTTACACCCATCAGCAGTGCATAACCTTCCTGTGGCTATCTTCCTATAATATGGGCTAACAAGCCCTGATAGCTTTTGCCAGTCTAGCAAACATAAAATGGTCTATCATTATGGTTTGTATTTCCCTAATTACTAATGAGAATGAGAACATACTAATATGTTTACTGGTCAATAAATTTTCCTCTTTCTGTGAAGAACTTATTAAATCTTGCTCTTGTATGTGGTACTGAAGATTAACAGAGTCCTTTGGATGCTAGGCAAGCACCTCCATTAACCTGCAAATCCAAGCCCAAATCTTGATTACTTCAAAATCTAGGTGCTGATGACTATATACAAACTGTGTTATTAAGAAATATTTTTACAGGCTGGAGAAATGGTTCAGAGGTAAAGAGCACAGCAATGGCTGCTCTTCCAGAAGTCCTGAGTTCAAGTCCCAGCAACCACATGGTGGTTCACAATCATCTGTAATGAGATATGGTGCCCTCTTCTGGCAAGCAGGCATACATGCAGGCAGAACACTATAGACATAATAAATAAACCAGTCTTAAATATTTTTACACCATTTTTTTTTTGAGACTGGGTCTCTTTGTAGCACTGGCTGTCCTAGAACTATGTAGACCAGGCTGGCCTTGAACTCACACATATCTATCTGCTTGCCTCTGCCTCTCTAGTGCTAGGATTAAAGGTGTATACCACCACACCTGGCTGTTTATACTATCTAAATTCTTTTTAAATTGACATTTATTGTGTGTGCATAAGCTTATGCATGTATGCCACAATGGGTGTAGAGATCAGAGATCAACTTGTGAGAGTTGGTTCTCTTCTCCCACAAGGGCTCTTGGGGACTGAACTAAGGTCCTCAGGTCTGGCAGCAAGTGCCTTTATCCACTAAGCCATCTTTCAGGCCCTATTTACTTTACTTTCAATTAGCAATCTTTTATATTTATATTTTCTTCCTCTTTTCTTTTTCTTTTTGGAATTTTTGAGACAAGGTCTTATGAATTCCAGGCTGGCTTCGAATCTGTAGCCAAAGATTATGTTGAACTTCTGGTTTTACATGATGTTAGGGAGAGAGCACAATGCTTCGTTCATGCATGCTAAGCAAACACTCTACCAACTGAGCTATTGATGGACCTGCCTGACTCTATCTTAAAATTAAAAGTCATCTTGTTACAAGGTCAAAATAAGTTCATTCCTATTTTCTGTAAAACGCAGATATGACCAAGTCTTGACCCATTTTTCACAATTTTACCTGTTTTATACCCTACACCTAACCTCTACTCTGATAAGATGTTCTGCCAAGCCAAGCTCCTATGCAAACCAAAACCCTCTGGAAATCCCCAAGCCCTTGAAAAACTCCTGTCTTGCCGTTTTGGGGGCTACATTACCCCACTGTCTCCTATGTTTGATACTATTTATTCAAACCTCACTTTAGGAAGACAACCGTGTCCGACAGAAAAGAAAGCTTGCATACTTGACCAAAGAATTTGAGTAATGGTCTTTATTCTCATCTGGTGGAATTAACCAGAACGATTTTGAGTTTTTTGAAATTGTATTTAGGGGATGGAGAAATGGTTCAGCAGTTAGGAGTACTTGCTGTTCTAGAGGACCCAGGTTTGATTCCTAGCACCCACATAACGGTTTATAAGCACTTATAACTCCAATCCCAGGGGATTCATCACCCTTTTCTGACTTCCTCTGGTATTGCATGCATGTAGTGAAGGCATACATACACTCATATCCATATTTTTTTAAAAAAATAGTTATTTATATTTACAAGAACACACAAGAGCCAAGGCTTATGTGTTGTAAAAATCAAAGGAGAACTTGAGGGAGTCAACTCTTCCCACTGTCTAGGTTCTAGGGACTGAACTCAGGGTCTTTAGGTTTAGCAGCAAGTACCTTACCTGCTGAGCCATCTTGTCACCCATTTCTCTATGTTTTAAAAAAGATGACTGTAGTGACCCAGGGCTTTGAGCATTCCCTACCACTGAGCTACACCCACAGCCTTCACGCCATGTTAACTCTAGCTCTGGCCAGCACTTTTCCTACGAGGCTGTTTTTAAAATCCGCCCATCTTCAACAGGACTGAATTCTTTCGGTGTGTCAGCATACAGATGTACACAGCAGATGGAGCTGCATGTGTTTCTGACCTTCTAATTTGCTGCAACGTTCCTCCAAAGTCAACACTTTCTGCCGATCTTCCTCCCATGAAAGAAGTTGTCTCTGGTGCACTGCAACCATGTCATTGAGCTCTTTATCTCGATCTTTCAGTTCTCCAATGAGCAACTGCAGCTCCTTCCGCTGTTTCTCAATGGTGGAATTCTCAACTTCTGACCCGATGTTCTAAACATGGAGGGTGGTTTTGAATCAAGATAAACCCAAACCACACATCAGCCACAACATATATCTTCCAAATAATTATACTCTTTTGCTGCCAACTAAAATTGTGAAATTGAGTTTTATCCTCTTTCAAGGGCAATACAGCAAGTCTGCCTCTATCATCTTCCATCAGACCACACAGTTCTTAGAGGGTAGGCCCACTTCTAAAACCTCTGGCTAGCCACAATACACTCAGCTTCTGCTTTTCCCCCGCTTTGCTGTCAATCTTCCTGTTATAGCCACCAATGCTATTCCTTACCCGGCCCTTCTGTGTTCTCCAGCGCGTATGTGTGTGTGTGTGTGTGTGTGTGTGTGTGTGTGTGTGCATACACCTGCCGCTTTCTTTCTGTATGCGTGGTGCTGGAGCTCAAACCCAGAGTATTAATGAGCATATGATCTAACTGAGTTACAGTCCCAATCCTTGGCCTAGAAATTTTGGAGAAATCAGGCTGGCAGTGGTGGTGCACACCTTTAATCCCAGCATTCGGAAGCAGAAGCAGGCAGATTGCTGTGAGTTTGAGGCCAAGCTGGTCTATAGAGTGAGTTTCAGGACAGGCTCCAAAGCTACAGAGAAACCCTGTCTCAAAAAACCAAAAAAAAAGGAGGCTAGTTAAGTTGTGGTGGTACACTCCTTTAATCTCAGCAGAGGCAAGTAGATCTCTGAGTTTGAGGCCAGTCTCTACAGAGCTAGATCTCATTCTGGAAAAAAAAATCTTAAAAACAAAGTTTTGAAGAGAAAATTTGCATATGTATGCCAAAGACAAAAGTACAATGATGTCTCATGTTTCTAGAACTGAGGTTCCTGTTATCAAGATCTTGCTACAGCTGCTTCAATTTTCCTTTTTATAGCACTGATTTTAAAAAATACTGAGCTACATTGTCCACTTGTCCACCATATGCCATTCCCATTCCTAACAATATTATCTCCAGTAACTCCTTTTATACAGTAGTATTTTAAAAAAATGTATAACTACCCTTTTTTAATGCTTTTTTTGTTTTTCAAGACAGGGTTTCTTTGTATAGCCTTAGCTATCTTGGAATTCACTCAATAGTCCAGGTTGACTTTTTTTTTTCCACATTGTATAACAGTTTATATTTACAAATTAGAAAGAAAAGGGAAATAATCAATTTTTTAAAAAGTTTCTAATTTGAGTAAGTTAAAAACACAGAAGTGGAGTTGGAGAGATAGTCCGAGGTTAAGAGCACTGGCTGCTCTTTCAAAAGTCTGGAGTTCAATTCCCAGCAACCACATGGTGGCTCACAACCATGTGTAATGAGGTCTGGTGCCCTCTTCTGGCCTGCAGACATACATGCAGACAGAATATTGTATACATAATAAATAAATAAAATAAGTAAATAAATACAATCTTTAAAAACATACATTCGGGCACTAACTACACAAATGGACATTATTGCACAGAAGTTCACAGTTCTGGGAATGTTCTGCGAAGAAAACCCATAGCAATCTTTTTTCTTGGTAATAGATTTAATATATATATATACATATATATATATCTTAAAAGAATAAAAGCTAAATCAATAATGTAGGAGTATAGAAAAATCTTAGATGTCATTAACACTAGCAGCTACCCACATCTGTCACCAAGGACTCAGTCCTTTCTTCAGCTTCCCTCTCCCCACTTCACCCACCCCAGTCAGAATTTTGCTGTGGCCCAGGGTGGCTGCAAATTCCAAATCCTCTGGCCTAGCTGGCCTCTGTAGCTAGCCAAGAGCTACAATTATAGAGCTGGGTATCATATCCAGACAGATGTTTCTTTCTAATGAACTAACCATAACATTTAAAAATTTCTGGAAAGGCCAACAGACCAGAGAAAGACATTTTTTAGGCACCTGCTTGAAACCAACAGCTTCAGCAAACTGATGGCCTTGATTCAGGGCCAACCAGGCTGACTTCGAACTCAGAGATCCCCTGCCTCTGCCTCCTGAGTGCCGGGATTAAAGTGTGGGCCATCACCACCAGGCTATAGCTGTTTTTTTTTTTTTAAGATTTATTATTTATTTTATGTATATGAGTGCTCTGTCTGCATATACGACTTTATGCCAGAAGAGGACATCAGATCCCACTAGAGATGGTTGTGAACCACCATGTGGGTGCTGGGAATTGAACTCAGGACCTCTGGAAAAGCAATCAGTGCTCTTAACTGTGGCACCATCTCTCCAGTCCAGTTTTAAAGTCCAGTACATGGCAGATCCTATCAACCTGAATCCATAGTTGGGCACTTAGTGGTTATATAATCTTAATCAAGTTACTTAGCATCTCTCAGCCTTAGCCTCTTCACCTGTAAAATGGTAACAACCGTACTTTCTAAGGGACTTGCACATGCAAGTGTTCTATCACTGAGCAATAGTCACAGTATTTTTTATTATTCATTTTGTGTATGAGTGTTTTTGCTGTATGTATATCTATGTACCACTTCCATGCTTGGTGCCTGTGAAGGTTAGAAGTGTATATCATATCTGTATGAAATGAAATGACAGACATTTGTGAGCCACCACTTAGGTGCTGGGAATCAAACCTATGTCTTTTGGAAGAGTAGTCAGTGCTCTTAACCAACTGCTGAACCATCTCTCCAGCTCCCACAGCTTTTATTATTATTATTATTATTAGTTTTTGAGATATAGTCTCACTAAGCTGCCCTCCTTTTAGGCCCACTCCGTGGCTTTGAACTTTCCAGCTTCCAAATTAGCGGGGATTATAGGCCTGTGGCTTTATAAATGCCTCGAATATAGTAATCCTTCAACATTGTTATTACTATTACCATTAGACAGGGCCTTGTTATGCAGCCCTGGCTGACACTGAACTCACAGGAATCAGTACGCCTTTACTTCTCAAGTACTTTCTGGGATAAAAGTTGTGCACCACCACACCTGCGTTAATTCATGTGTGTGTGTGTAGGTCAGAGGATAACTTTCAGAAGTTGGTTCTCTCCTTCTACCATATGAGTTCTAGGGATCAAACACAAATCATCAGGCTTGGTTTATTGACCCACTAAGTTGTTCTGTAAACCATATGGTGCTGAATTATGTTCTGGTTTTGTGTATGAAAAGTGGAAACAGAGTTCTACTACTAAAGCTAAGCCTCGCCCCAAGAGTTCTAAGAGCTAAAGCTGGGATACGGTGGCTCATAGCTACATTCTCGGGACTCAGGGGGCAGAGTCGGTAAGAGTGATGCCAGCGTGGCCTACACCGGGTGTGAAGAGCAGTACAAGTTCATCGGAGACTCACGTGTACGATTACAGCATTTTAAAAGGCTTATAAATAATAATCATTGACAGTTCCTGACAAAACACACACACAAAAAAGAACTTGGAATTCCAGGTCACAATACTTGAATTCCAGTCTGTAAGAATGGCAGGCCAAGGGCATGTAGCTCAGTGGAGGATACTGTTAAATAAACGAGGGAGGGCAACGTCCCTGTCAACGTTCAATGCCTGGTGAACCCGCTTCGTCGCTCGGTTCTAGGTTTTGTCGAGCCGAGGAAACTGTCGTTCCGTTCCCTCTTTGCACCGTCTCCAGGGGCAGCGGCGCTCACCTGGCGCCGGACGAAGAAGGTCGCCGAAGGGTTCATGGGCGATGCCCCCACCCCCAGAGAGAGTCGGTGCCAGCAGCGCGTCACCTCGGAAACGCCATAGGCGCCTGGTCGCACCGGCGCGGGGAAGCCCGCAACCCCGGACGCCGCGCCCTCACGACCACGCATGCGCACACAAACCGCCTGCCCGCGCTGAGGCGTCGCGCAGGTGGACGCTCCAATTCTCGCGAGAACGCAGACCTGTTTACCCACTCTGGAAGGCTCCGGCACCACACGAAGCGCCCCAGAGAAGCGTTCCGGCGCTAAAGACCGCGGAATAGGTCTTTTCTAGGCCCCAGTTCCCTCGCTTTCTGGCTTCCCTAGATTATTCCCTAGACTAGGAATAATCGGTCCGGCACACAGGACAAAAGATCACTCATGACAGAAGCATCTGTCAATCATCTGCTCTTAATAGTGATGAGAACCGTGACATTTTATATCAACATTTCCCACATTACTGCTGGGTCTTGAGTCTGAGGCAAAAAGATCAGAGACCTAGGAAGACCCTGGGATTTTACGTGTGTGCATCCTGCACCTGTGCGGAGGTGAGGAGAGTTCCAGTCAGACTCCTCCAGAAGGCCTTCAACAAACCTTTGAGGCAGGTCCACCAATTTCAACAGACAGGGTGGCCAGCCATTAGAAATGGAAGTAACGGATAGCCCCTGTTTTAATTTTTAAGAGTGTTGCGGGTCGGGGGAGGGGAAGAAAAACAGAATGGCCCTGGACCCTAAAAGCGATTTCCACTCAGGCCTAACCACCTGAGTGTGATCTTAGGAGCTCACAGAGAAAGGAGAGAATTCATAGCTGTTCTATTTATTTACTTATTGTTTTTGTGTTGTTTTTTTGAGACAGGGGCTCTCTGTAGCTTTGGAGCCGGTCCTGGAACTAGCTCTCGTAGGCTGGCCATGAACTCACGGAGATCCGCCTGCCTCTGCCTCCCGAGTGCTGGGATTAAAGGCGTGTGCCACCACCGCCCAGCCATAGTTGTTCTCACTGGCACACTGGAACACTACACATCCAAAATAATAATAGGTTAAAAATTACCTGCGTGCTGGGGATCAAATTCCTGTTCTCATCATTGTGAAGCAAACGCTTTATTACATACATACACACCAAATAAAAATGTAACATTAAAAAAAAACGTGACAATTAAAGTCAATCTTTGAACTGTTAAGGTACATTGAATTTCAAGTCAAAGGAAAACATTTATTTTATCAGTAAGGGCATTTTAATTCTTCATTTTCTGGCAGTAACATCTGCTGATAGCTATATAAGGACCGAAAATGCATTTTTCAAAAACCGTTTGGGAGCTGGAAAGATGGCCCAAGTGGTTAAGAGTGCTCGCTCCTCTAGCAGAGGTCCCAAGTTCCATTCCAAGCATGTAAATGAGTTGCTCACAGCCATCTATAACTCTAGTTCCAGGGGTCCCTACAGGTTCTTCTGGCATCTTGGGCACTCCTTTTAAAATTAGAATTGTGGACATTAAAGTGCTTTTCCCATAAACATTATGTGTACATACATGGTAGATATTAGAGCACCAAGAAAAACAACAGAACATTCACCAAACAGCCATGACCAGTACATTTGCTTTGCCATGTAAAAATACTTGGCAAAATTCAGTTAGTAAAGAATTTCACTTTTAACCTAACATCTTAATTATGCATTTGTTTCTAAGGCTTTTTTTCTAAACACCATTTCAGAACTGAAGAGATGGCTCAGCAGTTAAAAGCACTGGCTGTTTTTCCAAAGGATCTGGGTTCAATTCCAGCAACCGCATGGCAACTAACAACTGTCTGTAACTCCAGTTCTGGGGTACTCAACACCTTTTACAGATAAACATGCAGGTAAAACACCAATGCACATAAATAAAGAAAAATAAAAAACACCCTTTCATTCAAGAATATATTTGTATAATTGACATTTTCATGGATTCTAAATTCTTAAAGTATCTATACAATTTTTCTTTGTGACACTATGGGTTGAATGTAAGGGCCTTGTGCATGCTAGGCAAGCACTTGTACTGCCCAGCCATATATAGTCTCATACCTATAGCCTTTTCACATGTAACACCTGATTTCCAAAGTTTAATTTCACCCAGGGCATTCATTAAAATGATCAGTTTTACTCCATAAGTTAGTTTAATTGCTACTTCTAAAACTGTAGACTGAGAACAGATACATGTCGTTTTTAATTGGTTAGAATTTTACTCATGTGGTATATAGCTAGAACAAGAATTCCCAGCCTCTCTGAGCATCTTTCCACTTGTAACAGTAAGAATGGTCTGACCCTACTCAACAGTACCAAGCAGACTTCTTATATTCTTGGGAACAGCTTTTTCAAATATACAGTATCCTACCACAGATAGACCAGCATTTCTTTAACAGTTCTGTATTCATGAGCTCTAACATCACCAGTAACATTATGAATCGCACCCTCATCCATGAGTTGTATACAAGACTTGTCCCTTAAGACAGTGTTGAAGGGGCTTACTGGGTCACAGTGCACATGGTTTTAAGGCTTTTAATGTACTTTAGCAAGTAATCTCCTGAATGACTTGAGCAAACCTACCCACTCTGTGTTGCTCATTTTATCAACACAGTGGACTTTGTCGTTAATGAAGGAACTAAGCCAACCAAAGACTCATTGGATTATCACCAACCAAGGACACACTTCTAGTAAGTAAGTGAAAAACAGATTCTTTTGAAAAGTCACTCAGCTTTCTCCCAGTAAGATAACCATCAGAAACACTTCCTGAAAAAAGGTTTTGGTGCCAAGAGTCTAGTTCAGTGGCAATGCTTTCCCAGCATGCACAAGGCCCTGGGTCCCATTGACAGCACCAAGAGGAAGGAAAGAGGCTACAGTATTTTTCCAAAATAAAAAGTTTAAAAAAAAAAGAAAAATCAGTACCAAATAACCAAAATGTTTTATTTGACTAAATTCAGATTCATGCATAAGCATGACAGTCTCTCTCTCTCTATCAGACTTTGGCAATTAAAAAAAAACAAACAAAAAAACATAAACCAAGCAGCCTTGTACAGAACAATGAGAACGCCAAAGATGAGGAGTCTACAGTTTTACTGTAGGATACATATATACACATATATACATATGTATATATTTCTGAAAGGCCTCTCCTCTGTTGGCCGTGTCAACTGTCAGGTCAGCTCAGAAACACATGACTCCAGAATCACTTCTTCACTTCTCCAAGGTCTTCGATGCTGTCGTCATCCACCTGTAAGCCACAGAAAAAAGTTTATGAATTGTGGCAAAAATTAAGAAAGAAATAAAGTGATTTGCTTTAAAAACTTGTTTCTACAGGTGTATGCATCCTGTGCACTAACCTCTGGCCACTTTTCCTGAATGACATCAATTATGTCATCTGTGAAGTCTCCCTGAATGATGATCTCATCCTCCCCTGTTACTGAGGCACCGCAGGAGAATTTTTGAGCAAAAAATCTTTGTGCTTCTTTGAGATCAATTTCTGTTTTGGTTTGTTTTTTAGAAAAAGAAAGGGCAAGACCATAATTAGAATTATATAACAAAGATACTTCTTCATTTTGAAATTTCATCTGCATTTTAAAATCATTTAACAAGTGGTATTATTTTTTTCCAGAACAATGACTAAAACTATTATAGGCAGAGCTCTTAACATACATTTTTCAAAGTCATATAGTCTCAATATAGAAAACAGCATCCTCCACACTACTCCATCACACAGTAAGACTAAAATGGTTGGAGCGATAACACAGTTTTAATCCCAGCACTCAGAAGGCAGAGGCAGGTGGATCTGTTAGTTCAAGGCCAGCCTAGTCCACAAAATGAGTTCCAGGACAGCAAGGCAAACAGAGAGACCCTGTCTAACAAAACAGAACAAAATAAAAAGTCCAAAATGAATCCAGGAACATATTACTTCCAAGAATCACAGTTATTCATGCTTAAGTTCTATATAATAGAAATGAAGATAAGAGAATCAAGCCTCTATACCTAAGTCCTTTTTGTTTTGTTTTTTGCTTATTGAGAAGGGAGTTGCTAAGGAGCCCCACTGGCCTTGAACTTGCGTTCCTCTAGTCTTAGTTTTTGTGGTGGTTTGAGTAGGAATGGCCCCCAAAGACTCATGTGTTTGAATGCTTGGCCCACAGGGAGTTGTGCTATTAGTAGGTATGACCTTGTTGGAGGAAATGTGTCACTGCGGAGGCTGGCCTGGAGGTCTTATAGGCTCAGGCTATACCCTGTATGATACACAGTGTCTCTGGCTGCCTGTGGATCAAGATGTAGAACTCTCAGCTACCTCTCTAGCACCATGTCTGCCTGCACACTGCCATGCTCCTCATCATGACGATGAACTAAACCTCTAAAAAAGTAAGCCAGCCCCAATTAAAGGTTTCCTTTTATAAGAGCTGCTGTGGTCATGGTGTCTCTTCATAATAATAGAAACCCTAAGACATTTCACAAAGTGGCAGGATTATAGGTATGTGCCACCTTAACAGGTTAAATCTTAATATTTAAAATGCAGTTTAGTAATGTATATTTCAATCTGTACATTTTTACCACAGTGTCTACTATTCAGTCATCCTCCAGCACCTGAAGGGCTTTAAACAGAACTCTGTGCTACCACCCACCTTCCCTCGCCTCCACTGTCATTCCCAGAGATGGGGTATTTTTCAAACCTCTCTCAAAGAATTCTGGGGACACAGGAGCAGCCTTAGCCACTTTTAAGTCCTACCTAGTCCTCTTCATTCTATATAAATATATTCAACGGCAATTCCTCAAGAGCTGGCAGTGGTACATACCTGCAACCCCAGATACTTAGGAGGCAAAGCAGTAGTTTGAGAAGAGCCAAGGTTACACAGCAAGATAGCATTCTCAAAAACAAAAAGCAAGCAAACAAAACCAAGCAAAATTACCAGATAGAAAAAAAAGTGTGCTAGTGTATCCTATAGAAGACTTTTAGAAGGTAATTCTGAAGCTATAGCTAGAAATTCAAAACGTAGGGCTGAGGATCAGCTCAGTAGGAAGAGGCGTTGTCTAGCATCTGGGATGCCCTCACTTCAATCTCCAGCCATGGATCACAACAGATAGGCAGGCGGTACACTCCCAT